AATATGGCAGCTTTGTGGGAGGCTTCTAATTTGTTTAATTATAATTTGTTGCTTGGAGGGGCATTTTTATTCTATAATGTATACGATTTTGCAAGAGGCTGTTACTACAATTTAGATTATTGCTGTCATTATTTCTCCTGGCTGTTCATTTAAAACAGCGATAATTGGAAAACTGTCTAACTACGTTAACAGTTTAAGCTTTATTTGTGATCGAATTTTCATTAATATATAATATAACAAATACATTTTTTTAATTTTATTAAAATGTAATTTTGAGTATCTCGAAAACGAATATAAATATGCACAAATTCAAAGCCTGTTAACAAAATTGAAACGAAACGTAACCGTAATCGCACCAATTGACAGCACGTGTCCGCGAACTGATGGCCAATTAGATGCATGCGGAACGATCAGCGCCGTTGATTGGCCCGTTTAAATTGCGAATTCGGTAACAGCCGTTCAGCTCATTAGATTTTTTAAATTTAAGCACTTTTTATTTTTAAAGTGTAAAATGTATTATAATATATTTCTGATATTGTTTTATTCAAAAACAAATATGGATTGTGATTATATTCCATTTTGATTTCGAAAAACATTTCCTTAATTAGGGTTTGCATAATGTAAAAGTCGCTACAATAGCTCATAATTTTGTAATGTAACTCGCCAATAAAAACTTCAACCCTTTATCAAGAACTACAATTGATTAAAAAGGTCCGACAAAACCAAATTCAGTCGAACACGAGCCAACAACGCGTGCCGACAGATCGCAAGCACATTCCAGTTCGACGGCATATTTAAGAGGTGAATATTCTCAAACAATGCGATTCTTACGCACGATCTCAGTAATCCTATTCCTTCTAAGCGATTGCCCCGCGTCATCCACGTCACGCCCGAGTTACGGGATCAATTTATTTTCAATTTTTTCTCCCCACGCAACGTGCCAAATTGGATGTCTGCCGAGGTTTACGCGTGACATGGGCCAGAAATTGCGACTTTTAGTTCTTAGATTGCGAACGGTTTTCGAGATAATCCCTTGACGAGGACGATTGAAGCTACCATGAACAGACGTCTTGTAGAATGATATTTGTATCGTAAAGGAAATTAAACTAAATAAATTTCCTAAACATGGAGATAAATGAGTGCAAATAGAAAAATAATGACATGGCCATTGCGCATACATTGTCAAATAAGAACGTTACTTACCACACTCAAAAAGAATAAAATATGCATAATAGATTATTATTTGTTACCAATTATAAACCCATATTATATTACTACCAGCCAGTTACCACTAACAATTGAGGCTATCAACGCAAAAGTAGTGTAACCCACATAAAATGATACTAAAGGAAATAGTTATTTTGTATTTGGATGCTATTTTCATGTAAAAAAAATTGTGAGATGGTTGTTGGTAGTACCGACTGCTACGAATAGATAGCATTATTCCTAAACAGGCAAACAAGTTTTTAAACAAATTTATGTGAAACTGTATAAGACATTTTGTGTCGACTACTCTCCTCTACCACGCATTTTTCTGGTGAAAGTGTCCTGTAGCGTTCTGAACCTGAGCACCCTCAGAACCATTACTTAGCTTATTATTAGGGCTAAGAGCCTTTAGCTTGCCCTTTTGTCCGGTGAGCTAGCACCTAAAGGTCATCAGCGTACAATTGCTACACATCTATTAAAAAAAGTCCTTTTCGTCTATACGGTTTTCCTACGCAAACCCCGACATGCGCAAAGATTAGACTCATGCGCAAATATTAGACGTCCCATGTTACGATGCACACAATCGTCAATCGCCATATAGAGTGACGGGCTCCCCACAAAAGCCTAACTCATGAAACACGCATCAAAAAATCGAACTCGACTCTGCTTCTTACTATCCCAAGCCGAGAGCGTAAGTGGCGGCTGCCAATTACATCCCATTCGCGCTCAAGGAATTTCGCATCGGTTCTCGCGATCATTTAACTCTCGCTGCTATCGTCAACCAGACCGCATTCAAAGACACTCCACATAGAATAAACGTCAGAAATATCCAGTAGCATCCTAAGTACAGCTCCCTGCCCTCCTGTGTGCCCATTACGTAATTTATTTTGTTTTTTTTATAATATTAAGTGACGGTAAGAACAAGTCGTGCGCTTGATGGTAAGCTACACGCTTGTCCATAACAATGCCAGCAGTGCCACTCAGAGCTTTAAATCGCAAAGACCTGAGGGGCACTGCCACTGCGCCCGTTCGCTTGAAACAAGTTGACAAGTCTCTGTAATTTCACCAGCACTCTTGCCCTTCAAAACCGGAACACAGTAATGATGACATTACGGCTTGGCAGCAGAAATAGGTGAGATGGCCGTATTTCCCTGGACGATCCTTTCACAAGGAGCTCTACTGCAGTTATTATATACGTTAAGAGCTTTGGGTTTACCCTTCTGTTCGTAACCGCAGTAACGACCATGAGGGATCTGCTATTGAAGGACATGTTCCAAACACAAGGAAAAAGTTAGTTTGTTCGAAAGTTAAACGGTTGGGAATCTACAGTGTCAAGACTTTACTTAGCTATGTTTTGGGGGCACACAGCATCACTTTGCCACATCAAAAGAAAATGTGAAGTGTGCAGCTTCATTCGCGTCATGCGTTCGACTTCATTTGGTCAACTATTACTATATAATAAGACAACAATTGTTACGGATGGATGCCGCACGAGAACGGCAGTAGGCCCCCTGTTGTGGCTGTCATTTCGCGGCAAAACTAAGCTACGCGATATATTGAGCAATTTCCTTCACTCACAGTGTTCATAAATGCGTGCAGCTCTACAATTTTAGATAATTATTAGCAAGTAAAAACTTTATGTGAAACAAGCAAGAAAACAGTAGATAAACGTTATTATTAATATGTTAGTTTATCAAGTTAATAATACACACTACAAATTATATTTACCTCTCAAATGTGTCTCTCTAATAGTATTATTATATTAGTTTGTTAGTTTATTTTAATTTTATTTAGTTATTTCATTAATCCGTTAGTATGTTAGTAGTGTGATTTAAAGTTGACTTAGTAAAATGTGCAAATAGTTAATTTATTAGTATGTTAGTTTTTTGCTTGTTAATATTAGCCGATATTTGTGGTAATATTATTATCTAATATGTATAGGTACGTAATAATTATAAAAAGTAATGTAATTTTCAAGAACTATTTACAAAATTTTGAATGCAGTGACACATACGCGACGACACAAAAAATATATATTAAGTTTTTTTGTTAGCCTGCAACCTTGTGGAGAACGACCGTCCCTCGAACTATCAACTTTCTCTGTCCGCAGCAATCTCCAGTCAGTTATTGAAGAACGCGTTCAGCACAGTCAACTGCACATCAAGCTGTACACTTGTCTTCGAATATCGCCTCCAGTGCAATCTGTCATCAATGTGTAGCTCGTTATGCTGATGTCTGTACTTGTGCTTCCCGCCATCTCCGCCGCGGCGCAGACGGCCATCTTGTGGGACCCACTAATTTGCTAAAACTTTCGTGAGTCAAGAAAATAAAATAAAGTTTTATATATATATATATACTCGTAGCCCTTAATATTTTTTATTTCTATTTTCTTTAACGGTGCAACAAACTACGCAAGATTTTTTTTCTTGGAAAGGCTTCCTTTCTCATTAGAAATCTGCGTGCAAAAGCGTTTTTGCACGCTAGCATGGAAAAGGTTCTTGAAATTCGAACTTGACGACGGACTGTGGTGCAACTAACTTTTTCTTTCGATGACAAAGAATGAAAAAGTGAAAAAGAAAATGGCACGTTCAATTAACCGATTTTTCGTACATTACTTATTTATTTAGCATAAATCCGTTGGTATATTTTATTCTTATTATTCTAGACATTAAATCAGCAGTGATAATTAATTGTGTTTATTAAATTATTTTAATTCGTTGAAGAACTAAAATAATTTCAATAATCACTTAATCACACAAAATAAAAGTACAATCAAGAATAAAAATGATGAGGTGTAAATGCAGAACCCATCCGAAGATAAACTTTTTCTTTATAATTAAAAAAACTGATGTTTTATAATTCAACTGTTTTTATTTCATCTACCATATTCCTCACTATAGTGAGGTGAAAAGTTGTAAGTTTCGCTCGGCAGCAAAGTTGTTTTGCTTCTCGTGCCTTAAAATCCTCGCTACGCTCAGACATCTATTTTTGCTTAACCAATCTTAGCTTCCTTCGCTTGCTCAGGTTTCAATACAGGCACTTGCTTCAAACAACAACTTTGCAGCCTTCCATAACAAAAATCTATTAACACTATTGATCCTTAATTACGGAGCTGAAAGTGGCAGAATAGAGAAAAAATGCTAAACTGGTTATGAGATGAATTTGTTTTAAATAGTAATATAATAAATATTTACGTAATCGCTAATGGAAGATTCTATGCCAATATAATCAGCGCTGTCATTAAAGAGCAATAAATATAAGTCAGCCAAAAAATGGTACCCTCTTGTCGCCCGAAAATAGTACCGTCGTGTACGGTTAAAAAAGCACAAAATTCATTTGTTAGTTTGTCAGTGTATGAGTAAAATTATTAATTTATAAAATGACAACTGTATACATTTATAAGGTAACTTACCTGTCCCGCGTAAATCAACTTCCACATTATTTGACTTTTTCTTTTTACGCAACTTTTATACCTTACGAAATTATGTAACGTTAAAATATGATACTACACAAAGTTATTAAGTTGTGTAACCAAAAGTTTTATGTTTCTCCGTCAAGGAAGCCTGAGCGTCGAAATTAACAATATACATACAATAGTGATGACAAAAATGTCGGCGATTGCAACGATAAACGAAAATCTGCTGTGAAAATATTTTTGCTACTAGTGTAGAACGAGGTGAATGGTTTCACCGTTGACAAATATATAACAGCGTACGTACGTCGTGCCGATTAGAGTCCATGACTGCGGTCACTAGTCGGAAATTGAGTATTGCACGTTGTCGACAGAACAACAAAATCCTAAGGTAGTCATGCAAAAAGTATTCGCTGCGAAGTGCAATCACAGACACATCGCTCCAGGAGCTGCAATAATCACTTTGGCTGTATTCGTTGTCGCTTTAATACAGAAACGATCTACATTGAACTTCTACCTAAGTTACAAAGATGACGACTTGGATTGCTACTTCAGAGACGAAGAGAATTTACCTTTCGCTAATGACCACGACTTCTTGTCTCGAAAGCAAATTTTCTTCCACGAAACGTCGTGCAAGGGAGGATTGGATTCACGTCAAGCTTGCGCAATCGAGTCAGCGGCGAAAGTTAACCGGGACTGGGATATCAATGTCTTCTTCGTGGGTCCACCAAGCCCTATGTTTCTCAATAGCTTCGTTTATAAAGTCCTCAGTCAGACAAATAATATAAATTTTTATAGAGTCATCATCTCCAAGTTTAAAGATGACACGCCAATGAGACATTTAATGCCCACGGACAAAAAGTATAATCTGCGGAACATAGCGGAAATGCTGCGATTTTTGACACTTTACAAATATGGCGGTGTTTATTTAGATCTGGACCTGATCAGTGTCAGATCGCTTGGCGCCTTTCCCCCCAATTGGGTAGCAAAGCTGTCCTCTGGAACGCTAGCTGCAGGTGCATTGGGGTTGGCGAAAGACGACGTGGGGCGAACAATATCCGGACAGATTATTCAGTAAGTGAAGTTTTCGCAACTACAAAGTCCATCAGCTGTTAGTCGTTGAACGCCGAAAAGGTTTCCTAAAATTTGTGTTCCTTTGTCACTTCAATACTTACAAGGCGGTGACAAAAGAAAGTCGTCAACATTAGCTTTGTCATAGCAACACGTCGACGATAAACAAAATAGTTTGCCATTCACCCAAGTTCGTTTCGTGCAGAAACTTCAACAAATTGTACGACCCGACCCTGTGGAATCAATTGAGCAAAGGCGTCCTTACGCACTCGTTGAGAGATGTCTGTGCGACCAAGTCTGTTGGCAAAATGAGTAACCAAACATGTCCAGGTAACAAATTAATCATTTAACTTCTGACATTTTGAGAGCTATCCGCAAACTTTGTGCGACTTGCTAATAACATTGCATAGCATTTGTATTTAGTATTCGCTAATAACAATGTATTTAGTAGCAGTAGAGCTCCTTGTGAAAGAGTTCATCCAGGGAAGAACTGGCGCCTTGCCTATTTCCACCGCCAAGCAGAAATGTGAGCATTGCTGCGTTCCGCTTTCGACGGTTAAGGGTGCTGGTGAAATCACAGGCACATGGGACTTTAAGTAATTAATAGATTTTTGCAGCTGTTTTGCACGATTCAACGTTCACTGGGTTCGCGGAGTAGCAAATTAATTTACTTCCATTTTTATTAACATAGGACTTGTCAACCTGTCTCAGGGTGTCGAGCGCAGTGGCAGCGTACGTCTTTGTAATTTAAAGCTCTGAATGGAACTGCAACTGTCATGGACAGGCGTGTCGCTTACTACCTGGGGCATATTATAAAAGAAAAATTTCAATATTTTGTTGATAGATGTCGCGCCTTGAAATGTCGTCCACGCAATTGATCCAAATTTTGTTTTTTTTAAGGAATCGTAGTGTTCAATCGCACACATTTCTATCCCATACATTACGCGCACGCAGATCTGTACTTCGCTCCGGGCGAATTGAACCCCCCGCACACCTATGGCCATAATATATGGAACAACCGATCACGGAGAATCGCAGCGCCGAGGGACTCTCTGCTTGCCAACTTGGCGAGACAATTCTGTCCCGTCACTTACCAGATGCATGGAGATAAATTTGGTTATTAGGGCTGTTTTCTTGTCAACTGGATCTCACACTAGACACGGATTGTGTTTGGCGCCACAGTAGGTAGCCAAATCTGGCGGACGGGATAATGACCTGTAAGTTAATATGACTGATCGTGGTAAAGAAGGGCCTCAAGGCCTCACAGGCCCTCAAGAAGCCACTCTAGTAATCATAGCAGTATGTGCATTCACTACACGTTCATTTATCGCACGCGTGTTCCGCGAATCAATTAATTTGTGAAAGATTTTATGTATTAAGATTACAATGTAATTAGACAAACAAGAAATGAGTACAAAGAGAATAGATATTACAAATATAAAGTTAGTAAATTAAGTTCGGTAGAAGCATTAAAAATAGAAATGTTATTTCAGTATTCAGTACTTATTTATTTATTACTTAACATGTGCAGTACATAATAAAATTTACTGTTAGGGTTTAGCTAAAAACTTAAAAATAAGAAACAACAAAGTAGCAAACAAAAATTAAAAATATAGATTGAAGATTACCCAACAAAAATATTAAATTGTTTTAAATAATAAGTTTTAAGAAAAGATCATATTTCTTTAACGTTTCAAAATTCTTCTATTGTGTATTAAATAGCACTTTTGTATGATGGACCATAATGTATTTTTATCGTTCAAGTATTATGTAGCATGGAATCTTATCATATTATTAGGTACTATTGACCTGTAATACGGGCGATTATTAAATATAGTAACTTCAGGCGAGGAAAGTATAAGCTAATGTTGTCAACGTTCGCTTTTAACATGTTCAAAAAGGATTAAATATTTTCTTACAAATATTGCTGTTTCAAGATATAATAAGCACGGAAGAGTAAACATGGGTTGTTTTATGAGAAAAGGCTCATAACCGACTCTACGATGTGGGTTTAGGATCATCCTGAGGCACTGTTTGTGATGTGCGAACAGCTTCCGCGCGCACGACTGTGTCTGCGAAGGATAACTCCGGAGCGAAGCCAGTATTACCGTCAAGTCAAAGTCAAATTAATTTTTATTTCTAACCAACAAGCTACTCTCGAAATTGTTATAATGATTAAACTCTACTGCTCATACGTAAGGCAGATTCCCCTGAGAAGAATGAGCAAGAAACTCTAGGCGTTGCTCTTTGTAAATGAACATATACATATTTGTGCACATTTAAGTACAAATTTTTATCCTAATGTGCCTGGAAGAAATTGCTACATGGCCATAAGGTCGCCTATTAACTTACTATTTCTATAATTACTTATGTTGCTGTTCTATAATGTCAGTGTAATTTTAAGTGCAATAAAGGATATTTCATTCATTATTATTTACAAGATTTATTTCAAATATCATACATAGAACATAACCTCCTGCATCAACTAAACGTGTCACTCCCGCTGATTTTTGTCATCCAAGTATGCACAAGACTGTGCCTTTAGTATAAAGTTTTTCTTTTACTATTGTTTAAACCTCGTGAATGGCAAATTTCCATCAGATCATATTTTTATATTGTGACTTATTACGTTCAAATATTGAACGTCAATACAAATTAGGTTAAAAATGAAATACAAACATTTTATTAAATATCGGCATTTATCTTGGAAGACGACTGTCAAGAATAGCCAGATTATTTTTATTTATCGTATTAATGTTATGTCTTCACTATTTTTCATATAAAAAGCTGTTTTTCTTAAAATAAATTACATTTTCATGATTGTACTGTGACGCTGGTTAATTTCTTTTTTATTTATAATATCAAGTGCCGACACGAACAAGTCGTGCGCCCGATGGCAAGTCACACGCCTGTCCATAACAGTCGTTAATTTGTTTAAACTTATTTCTCAAAAGTATTATCACAAATCATTTTATTTTATATATTCATACCGTGGTAAGGAACCTGTAATTAGTGATAATTATGCAGCGATTAACCAAGAAAATCTTAAAAGCTCTATGCTGTCTCTGAAAGATACTCTGGCATCCGCGAATTGTAAATTGTCCTAACTGCACGTTTCTGCGGGACAAAGATTCTATTAATATCGGCGGCATTACCCTAGAGCAAAATGCCGTATGTCATTAAACTGTGAAAGTAACTGAAGTACTAAGAATGAGTAAAGATTTTATCTATCTATATCAGTAAACCAATCGAGCGGCTTTGATATCTGAAAGTCTCAGTATTTTTTTAAAATCACTTACACTGCAGAGCTGAGCCGTTTAGATAACTTACTTATCTGTCGACCTCATTGCAATTTAGCATCGAAAGTACAATTTTTTTATTCTTACAATAATGTTTGTAACCAACCGTCTGTCTAACGTTGGGTAATTTATTTTATTTATTTACTTAGTTCATTGCACATGACCCATATAATGTATACCTTAAGGACTAACACACATACAATATAATAAAACACTGTTTCTAACTAATCTACACGAATTGCACTTGTCGGCGACGTGTGGCGTAGTCTGGTGTCAGGTAACCGGCCGCGGAATAGCCGATACATGAAACTCTTCGGCCAAAACTCTTCCCTCGTGAAGGCCGTCAGATGTTCGGTCGGTACTCTCACCACAAACGAATTAAAATTTACGTTGTGGCAGGACTCCAACCGCTCGACCCTCAGGGTGTATTTGGCTTTATGTCTGATGTACTCCACTAACTCCTCAGACATCGCAGAGTAATGCAGTCGCGACAGGTACAGCAGCGTCGTCGGTGTGGCCGGACGCGACAGGAAGTTCGGTCTTGTCGGTGTTGTACCACACTGGTTACGGCTGCTGGGCATCAAATATCTAATCTAATAATAATCATTTCTTTCATGATACAAGTCGTAGGCCTGGTAGTAAGCGGCACGCCTGTCCATCATGGTTGTAGTGCCAACCGGGGCTTTAAATCACAACGATCTCAGGGGCACCACCACTGCGCCCGTCACCCTAAGACATAAGGTGACAAGTCCCACATACCTGTAATTTCATCTTCCCAGGTCGAACTCTTTTACACGGAGCTCTACTGCAACTAATATTCTTTCAAGAGATATCTTGCAATGAGGAACTCGGTTGGCGGCAAGCCTGTGCTGTAGAGTCGGCGCCTCGAGCTAATCCCATATCAACGTTTTCTTTGTAGGGACGCTTACTAAGCTATTTGTTAGAAAGTCTCTTTATGAGCTCCTTAGCAGCAAACAAAGTGTACATTTCCACAGAGTCATCATTGCGACATTTAACTACAACACACCGATAGAATAGCTGGTGGCCGCTGACATTATGTTTACGAACAAAAAATCTTTTGTGTAGAACACAAGGGAGATATGCCTTATTACCTGACGCCTTATGAATTTCAAATCAAATCATTTATTTCTTTGTAAAACTAAGATTACAAAGTCGTTACAAGAATGAATTTAGAATTCTTGTGGCATACAAAATTTATGACCCATACAGGTTATCATCTAACCTATTTCCTGCTTGCGTCACGGTGGATGGAACGCCAGTACTTAAAAATTAGACCAGACTTATCTGAGAAAATTGCTCTCAGTATGCCGTTATCAGAACAACGCAATCTATCCCAAAAGGAAGCAATACGAGCCCTTACACCAGCGAACAAGTCAGATAATCCTTCCTCGGCGAACATGTTCGATGCACTGCAGTAGCGTGGTAACTTTATAAGAATGCGGAAAGCGTCAATGTATTGCACTCTTAGAGCCTAAGTAAGCTCGCTTTTTTGAAGTCAACCCACAACTGGCAGGTGTAAAAGCACTGGCTATAAGCCTGGAAAAGCGTTAATTTCATCTCTTTCACTTCGCGAATCTTCTGGCGAGCATGCCACCGAATCGAGATAGCCCTCCTCTTTCCCTCTATGTCGTTGCCATCTCCAAGGTCGCTTGTTAAAATATGACCCAGGTATTTGAACTGCTCCACAACCTGCATCGCTATCTCAGTTAACCAAACATCGGGAATTCTCTCCGGACCCTTTACCGCAATAAAAACCATCAGTTTTGTCTTTCTGACATTGTACTTCGGCCCGTGCACATCAGCATAATGTTCACAGATTGACAGTAACTTCCTAAGTCCGTTGATCGATGGGCTGAGTAGCACCATGTCGTCTGTGTAGCTAAGGTTATTTACACAAACACTCGCCAGATGGCATCTGACCTTGGTGCTCCTCAACTCGCCGATCAACCCATTTGTGTAAACATTAAAAAGGTCCGGAGAAGTTAATCCACCCTGACGATCACCGCATTCTAACCTATATTCGTTGGAGGTCGCATCGCCCCGATTGACAATGTTCGTTTGGCCTCCATACCAGTACCTCAACAGGTTTACAACCTTATTTGGCACCTGCAAGTCGCGCAATTTGTCCAGAGAACCTCATAGTTCACTAAATCAAAAGCACGACTAAGGTCCAGGAAACACGCATATACCGAGGTTGCCCTGTGGGTATAGTAGTTTACAGTCTATTTAAGACTCATAATGGCGGAATCCGGATGCAAAAAAAAAGACCGGGGCGAAAGCCAAACTGCGCGACATCAATTTTGATGTTTCTCAGCAGTGTAGGTTGGAGAAGCCGTTCGAATAGTTTTCCCAGAACAGTACCGAGGGATATGAGTTTATAGTTCGCGGCCAGACTCAGGTTACCAGTTTTGCACTTGGCAATTAGTACCACTACGCTTTTAAAAGGTCTTGAGGTAGGTATATGTATTTCAAACACATGTTGAAAAGAACACATAACTTGCTATGTAGTACCTCCCCTCCTCCATAGACCAAATGCTCTAAGCCCATCGTGCCCAGGTGACCTACCTCTATTCATTTGGCCTATTGCCTTGGAGACACCTGATACTGACACTCTAACATCTTTGTTATTTACAATCCCAATAGAAGGGCTCACCTTATTTGCAAATAAGGTGTGAATTTAAAGTTACGAGCAAACATGTTTGCAATATCTTTCTGTTCCTGCAAGCCATCCTCAGATGCAGGTACACTTTGTTTATAATTAAACTGGTTTGTGACACTCCAAAAAAAACTAAATTTTTATCTTTCTTATGCGTAGCCAGAATGTTCATTTTTATTTTATTTTCGCTTCTTAAATACCATCTTAGGTTAAAGCTAAGCTTTTTAAAAAAATTTCGACTTGTGTACATTTTATCGTGTATTTCGCCTGTAGTTGCCCGGCCGGCAATAACCCAGCGATCATAATGTAGACGTGCGGTTTGATGACTCTCCCTTACATGATCATTCCATCCTGCTACACTGCGTCTATTTCCACCACCACGACGAAAAAAAAGAAGTGCATATCGCACCGGAATGCAAAACATGTGCTATGTCTGAACACAGACGGTCAGTAAACCTTCTATGTAAGTTAACATTCACACGTTCAACACACTCATTCGTCTCACATTCTACACAAAGCAATCGATCACAGCCTCTAATTTCATTTTACAAAATTCGTAGTATTTTTCAATTTGACTACAATTCCGCGAGCCCCATCTGATTTTAAAAATTTCTTTAATAAATATTTATATACAGTAATGTAATTACATGCATGCAAAAAGAAAAGAGAATTGTCAATTATATTTTGTACGTATGTTGTGCAAGCTCACATCGAAACAATGTGTATATTAAGGTTGTTCACCGAGATATTTATTCCGGGCTCGTGGAGAACATCGAGCGCGGAAATCCTCCGTACAGTACTGTCAGAAACTTGCACGACGTCCTACATTGAAGAAATTACTAATGACACATGTCCAGGTAACAATGCAAGTTCTATTTCTGTATGGAAGTTCGTATATACCAATTTTAGTATATCGTCTCTTTTTTTCTGAAAGTAACTCGATCGTGACAAAAATCCTAAATATAATCCTCTATTTCTACGTGTTAACTTCAATTAATTCAGTAATTGCCAAACATCGAATCAATTGAAGTCTGATTCGGTAATTGCCACAAAGAACCCTACATATGTGCGTTGGCCAAAAAGTTCGTCGGATATCAATGTATAAATGAAAAACATTTTTTTTTAAATCAGACTTTTATCAATTACTTATGTCGGTATTCGCCATGTTGATCTTGATTTTAGAATTCCCCTTTCATAAAGATTCCTGACATAAAATTCGGTTTTAAATGTCGATTGATGACCTTTTTTTTATACGTCGTATCCATTCAAGATTTTTGTACCGACCGAAATAAATGAAAATCTGAAGGATTTGTATCGGACAAAAAGGGTGAATAAGCCAAAACATCCCAACCTACCTACACTGCTATAGTTTTTCAGAGCTTAGTAAAAATGTGTCTTATTTGGTATTATCACGACGAAATACGATATCTTTACAATTCACTAGTTCTGAACGTTTTTTATGAAAGTATTCTTGTACGCTATAATTATATTTTTTAAATAACCACAAACAATAAAGGAGAAGATTAGTTTATCATCATCTTATTTCACATCTCACGGGCATGGGTAACTTCTCACACCCTCTGGTGTAGGCCTTAGTCCGCCACGCAGCTCTGGTACTATGCGGGTTGGGAACTACACGCGTTGTCCATGTTAGAGCCGGAGAAGCTATGGAAACGTGCTGGGCCCATAACCAGAGCTCTATCAGTCCAAAGGTTGTGAAGTGTCTCCGCCGCACTGTCGACTTTTTATTACAATGTTTCTGTCAGCGAGAAGTATAGCTACCAAACATTCATAACTTAGAAATTAAAGTCATAAATACTTGCCACTCTCTGATTTAAGAAACAACCGTCCGAGACGACAGAGAGCGGTCTCTCTATACACTATTGATGTAAGTAGAGATTAGCAAGTTGGAGAGGGCTCATAATCATAAAACACTACGAAAACTTATCAGGCTTGCGCAATGAATAGTGATTTGGTTAGAAACCCGTACCTAACAGTAGAACGTAACATTACTTTATAGGTATTAACAGTAGTAGCAACCTGTCAATCGCTTCACATTCAAAATATTCGATGGTCACTTTTTCTGCTCCTTTTAAACGTGTGCCAGTTGCGTAACAATGGGTGTTGAGATACGTTACGAGAGTTTAATTTATAAAACCAAACTTTTATGTCTCCTCGTCAAGGGCCGTGAGCGCTGGAATTAATGGCAGTACACCAAATTCGATAAGAAGTATACTCTGCTTCCGCCAATGTATTTAGTTTTAGAACGAAGTTTAGCATAAAAATTCACCTACGAGTGCGAGTAACACAAAAAACGACTGATGGACTTTTGGGCGGCTTTGTTGTGAAGTATATGTGCCGAACATACACCTGTAATTAAGAGTTGCCGATTCTCGGGAAGGTTATGGTCACTCTTTCATTTGAATAACAACAGTGGGTACACAGCAATCATGAGCAGCGCTGCTACGCCCAAGTTCGTTCACAAACAGCTTTTGTACATAATTATAGTGGTCGCATTGACTGCTAACATTTTCTTGATACTGCAAAAGCGACCTACTTTGATATTTTACAACGCTTACAAAGACGACGTAGAGTGCCATTTACAAAAAAGCTTCAATTTACCAATCGCTAATAACTTCAGTTTCTCTTCTCTGAAGCAAATTTTCTTCCACGACGTATCTTGTAAATCGGGATTGAACTCGCGCGAAGCCTGTGCGGTAGAGTCGGCGGCGACGAACAACCCCAACTGGGACATCAATGTCTTCTTTTTGGGACCACCCAGCGACCTATTTCTGGAAAGTACTGTTTACAAACTTCTTAAAAAGAAAAGTAATATACACTTTTATAGAGTCGACATCGTAGACTTTGTTAAAGACACGCCCATAGAGAACCTGCTTCCTTCAGAAATTATGCACATAAACAAAAATTGGTGTCTAGAGAGCTTGGCTGGCATGATCAAATACTTGGCATTATACAAATATGGAGGAATTTATTTGGATTTGGACGTGATCACTGTCAAGTCGTTCGACACGTTGCCCGCCAATTGGGTGGCAAAGCAGGACTCAGAAGTTTACGGAAACGCTGCGTTTGCCTTATCTAGAAACGGTTTCGGAAGAACTGTAGCCGAGAACATAATTCGGTGAGACTTCATTAGACGTAGGACGAATCGATACCAAGTGCTCGATGTATGTAGGATGCAGCATTTTTGCTCCAACACAGCTTATAATCAACAGCTCATAACGCTCATTATAATGATTCTATACAAACAATATGCGATCTCCTTTCAGGGATTTCAGTCAAAATTTCAATCCGTTCACTTGGGCTGAACTAAGCACAGACGTCCTTAAGCGCGTATTGCAACAAATTTGTAACAAGTCTAGCGACAGAATGTGGCAATTAGTTAACATATACAACCAGTCATGTACAGGTAACAACCAATTCAACCAGTTTAATTCTCAACAAGACACGGACATTAACACAAAAATACTAAGTTAATCTTTATTTAATGACGTAGACTAAATGTATGCCGAACTTCCGTGTAAAATCATATAAACCTGTTAGACTTCGCGGGTATCTAATAAAAGGATTTAGGACCGAGTCTATGTTGGCCCACAAACCTAAAGAAATGTATTATACATACACACACTTCACATCCTTTTCCCATCGAGAGAAGCAAAGACCATAAAGTTTTTAATTTAGTTAGTTAAAGTCCACTCCTACATTTAATGTAATACACCTCGTCCAATTTCCAGAATTATCAGTCTTAGACCCCGTAGTGTTCTACCCCATACATTTCAACAAGAGGATGCATTACTTCGAATCGGGCACAGTGAAATTTGCGAAAACCTACGGTCACCATTTATGGAGTTCTCTATCAATTGGGATGGAAGCTCCAGAAAAATCTATCTTAGCTCAGCTGGCCGAACGATCCTGCCCAACGACATTCGAATTATTTAAAGACAGTTTTGGTTCTTAGTTTTCACCTTGTCGGTTTGTACATAAAAATATGAAGTGCACTTTCTTTTACTCAAGAAACTATTGATATGGTATGCAATGTAAGTAATCGCTAGTAACATAATTATCTAAGCTACAAATTAAGGTGACCTTGTCGTAAATATACGACAGAAGACATACATTTTATAGTTTTTTTAAAGCATTTCCGCACATCGCAAGCGCTGTAACGAGCGGCTGCGATATTTGCCTTTTATTGGTACAGTAGGTCGAACATTGTCAATTTAACAATAGGGACGAGTTTTCTCGACCCGCGGCTCTGCCACAAGTGAAGTGGATGAAACGGTTACGATGTTATACAAACCAATACAAAGATATTTACGATCCATTTTATTCACATTTAATGGTTTCCAATTACGCGCTCTCCTACGCATAATCATGATAACGGTCAGCCAAAATTATGGGACCGTTATTCAATCATAAAATTGTGTTTCTCATTTAGAAAATATGCAAAAACGTTCATACACGGAAGTATTCAAGATACTCAACCATTGAAATAATCTCTAAGATTCAGCAGTAGCAACTGTTGTAGGCATTGACTTACAATTATATGGACGTCGGGTCCGCGCTAAAAAGTGTCCAAACTTATAGGGCGTTAAAATCGTATACAGAGCGTCATTCACGCTTTAGTCTTCGTTTGTTCGACTGACAGCGAAGCAAGCAAAATTAGACAGTACTGCGATGACATTACAATTTAAATTCAACGTTTTAGCTTTTTCATATTCCTTTACATGTCACTACGTTTGAATAGGTTGACTTGGGACATTTTTTCGTAGTTTTTGTATTAGACCCGTCGTCCATTTATTTGTAAGTCAATGGTTGTAGGACTTGCGGCCATTGCATATCTTTTAAATTATCATTGGTTTAAGAAAGGCTCGAAAAATATTGTACCGCTCAGTCATACTTCGCAAAACAATAGACTTATCGTGCATTTTTTGTGGCGATACAAAAGCAACAAAATTAAATGCCATTGGTGATCGATCAATTTTCCTAGTTGCCACAGCCCGTGAACCTCTCGATCTTCCCAAAGCCTGCACCGTAGAATCAGCAACGGAAACTCATCCGGTATGGACATGTAAAAAGCAATCGAAATACTAGAACTTTCTTGTTAGAACTTAAAGCTTACCAAAATGTTGTCATCACGAGAATAGACTTGCCAGAATACTTTATTGGAACTCCATTGAAATCCTAACCTAACCCGTGAATTACATTAAAGGAGATTGAATTTCCTGAATATTATCTTGTTTCGGACTTGGTGAAAGTAGCTCCTTTGTACAGTCATGGAGAAGTATCCTTAAACTATGACATGATTGTGGAGAGACCTTTTCAAACATTACGTTGTGGAAGAAATTAGAAACAAAGTTGGCGCCACAATTTTAAGATTATCTAAAAGTGAGGTTGGGAAAGAGGTGACCAGAAAATAATAAATATTATATAAAACTCGCACACCTACTCAGCTTTTTCATCAAAACGTACTTCAAAGACAAAGCCATTCAAACGTAATTAGGACTGACCTTTATATAGTTTAAATGTGAAATGTGCTATTTCTCTGTTTGCACCTTAGCTTCTGATTTAAACTGCGAATGCCGCAACCGATTCATGTACATCTATGTAAATAGTGACTTTTTTATTTCAGTGTCGTCAACAAGAATTTGAAAATACTGTTACAAAGTGAGACCTTTATTATTATTATTATTATTATTATTATTATTATTATATCATTGATATTAATTCCTATTTCGTTTTATTTGCAGCTGTGGCGGAAAATGCTATTTAATTACAGAATATCACAGATAATACGTAAACTTTGTTTTACAAAAATAACAATATACGTCAATGAATATTTTCCACCGACATACTGCGCAATGTGAAATCGTGGGAATAGTGCCCCGTTTCAATACGCTATCACAGAAAGCCGAGTGTATCAATTTGCCAGCCTAAACTGTAATTGATAGACAAAATCGACTGCTTACATCAACCGTGTTCGAATTCCTCAACTAATAAGTGGTCAACGTTCGTGCACCCGCTGCACACGCTACACACGTTGCATCACAGATTGAACCATAAAAATAAGACACTTAGGTCACATGGAAAAAACACTATTTTTTTCGGATCTAACAACAAACTTTTCGGGACTTTACAGGCCCGAACATGGGTTCACGGGTGACTCGTGTAAAGGGCCTGAACGTTGGTTTGTTTGAACAAACAAATATACGCAACTTAGATCCGAAAAAGTTTCATTTCCTAATCTAATGTATTTATGGTGTCACATTAGATTAGAAATAATTATGATAAACATAATAAAGTAAATAAAAGCTGCTTGTGTGTTTATGTATAGTTATGTAGTACGATGCATCGACATCACTAATCGCACTATGTAACTATTTGGAGGCTCTACAACAACTAATCAATGAACACTTGAATAAAATTGTACCCCAGTTTAACTTCCATGCATCTTGGTCAAACAAAATTTGGTGATTTTCCCACCCGACAAACAGTTTGGATTTAAAGCGAGGCGCTCATGTTTGGAGCAGGTACACTCGTACTCGTAGCAACACATTTTAAAACACTTCGACCGCTCCCGTTTTATGCCCACAGACAGCCGCACGAAAGCCTTTACAATGAATTGAGGTTGCACTCTCCGCCGTATTAGAGCCGAAGTCCCAAAAGGTACTATAGAGAACCGAGTTGTTTAAATATCAATCCGCGAATCTCACCGTATTTGCTGATGCCTTTCTTGCGTACAACTTTAAAACGGTCCAAGCGACTCCTATCCCGGAGTTACACTCACTGCCTTTTCAAAAAAAGAGTTAAAATAGATTTGAGTGGTCTTCGCACACTTACCACTAAAGGCCACTCCACCGTCTACAGGACAAGTACACCGTGGTGCTGCGCAACGCCAAACTTCACGCAAATTTACTGCTGTCCACAGTAGCCTAATTCATGACACAGGCATCTAATAATTGAAAACCTACTTGAACCTTCTCACCACAAATTCGTGGTCATCATCATGATTATCGTCAATCTATCATACGGTCCACTGCTTGAAACGAATCTTCTATCAGAGAGTTTGGGCCATAGCGGGCTGGAGATTTCACACGTTTCCGAGGATTGCGAACCGTTTCTTCGACGTGCGCTTCATCACGACGTATTCTTTCACCGTTGGCGAAAGGTATTACTACTAAACATTCATAAACGTACGTAACTTAGAAGTTTAAATCATAATTCCCTACAAGCCGCCACAGGGATTCGAATCGTCGATCTCTCAACTGAGAAGCAACCATTCACCCACGGGCTACTACCGCTCGCAATCTAATAAGCTGTATTTATTGCAAATTGCTCTATTATCTCATTTGTTTATGGTATTTCTGAATCAGGTGTCATGTTTAATTATCAACGACAAGTACATCTTATCACTTTAAAGATAAGATTTGTTGTCTTTTTCATCGCGATATTTGCTGAAATGAAATAAGGTTTATTTGCGTTGAATAGGCTATTACAGGATGGTCGTTATTACATTTGAGTTCATCTATTCAGCCATTATACAAAAGCATGCAAAATTTAATCTTCTAAGCAGTCATTTATATCCTTATAATATCCTTTTTTTAACTAGGTATATAAACAGTTCGGTTGTCATTCTTTTAAATATCATTTTTTTTATTTCAATTGGTAGTCTATCATAAATTTTCATGTATTAAGAACTTTTTAAGTAGAGTGTAGTTTTAGGTATATTTTCAACAACAAGTCTGTCTGGGTTTCTTTTTGCGCGTGGCTTAATTTCTATCGATTTTTTAAATAATTTTAGATGCCGTTTGACAAATTTACAAACTTCATAAATATACATGGAAGGTAAAGTCAACACATTTAAAGATTCCCGTGGGCCGATGCCGCACATTGCTTGTATACATCTTTTTTAGTTATAAATGCTCGTTCAACATATGTTCCATTATCCCATATGATTAATCCATAACGCAGAACCGTACATCGCGTTGATTCTGCCGTGGTAAGCAAATAAACAAATTTTTTTAGAAGTAATTTGTCTTAACCTTGCTATGATAATACAGCCTATATCTCGTAATGTACCGTGAGTGGTATCATTACACCGCATTAGCTAAACAGAAATGATAAAATCCACTAAATTGAGAAGCAAGCAACACTACAACAGATCAACGTGTCACGTAATTAACACATTCCGAACAGTTCTCTCTCATAGTACACCTTTCTGGTGGAAATCTCCAGTAGCTTCCTAGCTCTAAATTAATTCCGCCTTCCCCTTTTCATCACCGGGGGACTAGACATAAGCTTGGGTTCACACCTATGTTGCGAATATTCCAAGGATACGTACGAAGCATTACGCTTCCACATATAAGTATACGGCGAACTGCTATGGAGTGGATGGAATCCCCTGCCTGTAGAATTATTCTCTGAACGCTATAACACAGACCTATTCAAGGCGAGAGTGAATAGGCATTAATTAGACGTGCATGCTCCTTCCTCGACCTCGTCACTTTCCATCAGGTGAGATGGAGGTCAAATGCTTACTTACATTTCATAAAAAAAAAAACAAATGTACGCAGGCACTCACCGGAGTTCTCTCAAACGCGTTATTTAGTTTACAACTGGAGTCTTCAGCTCACCCATTTGTTAAGGTCATCCACAGCTTATTGCTAAAAATCGTTCAGAAAAAATGTAGATTAAACTAGTTCACTTTGCATAGGCAAGCGTGCTGTCCGAAGTGATGCGGGGTCACCTAAGACGCACGGTCGTCCATACCTATCGGCTTTGCGCAGAGCCCCGCCAAATCCACTTATATACGTACGTACGTTGCGTTACGTTATATACGTATTTATTTGCGTACGTTATCAACATCTGTTTTGGGTAAAAAACAATTAATCATATTAGTTTGTTTCAAAAAACTAATATACCTCGCAATTTTAGATCCGAAAAAAATAATTTCTCATTTTAAAAACTTTTAAATCCAGTTTTAGCGGCTTAGTTCTACACAAACGATAGCATTTATATTGTTTTTTAACAACCTTATGCCTCTGTTTACATAAACTGCGTGAAACATTTTAATTTCACACAATTTTAATAGTCGATTGCTGAAGTGCGATTTTCCATCAATTCATTCCGATACTCAAAGTGTTACATCAATGATGATATTGAAACGTGCATTCGTTCACGTGCATGTTAATAAATTCTGCCAAACATTTAAATTCAACATTATCAGACGAACTTTGGACCACGCACGTGGCAAGACATTCGTTATAATTCTGGTTATAGGCATGTATGGTGTACTTTATATGTATTTATTCTCGAAAGCACTAGGGAGTAAAGTGGAGCCGAGGACATTTCATCCTCATGACAACAACAATATAACATGCCACTATTTGACCGAAGGAAATTCTCTGCCCGATTCGTTCGACGTCATAAAATCAGAGGAAAAAAACATATTTTTCGTAGAAACTTCATGCCAAGGCGAAATAAATTCTCGGCAGGCCTGCACCGTCGAGTCGGCGGCGAGGCGGAACCCAGAGTGGCAAATCAATCTCATCTTCGCGGGACCGGTCGGCGCCCACAAGCTTACGAACTCCGTATTGGCTAACCTGGTTACGATGCGCAACGTGAAAGCATCCCGAATGCTTCTTTCGAGACTAGTGACGCAAACGTCAACCCTGGAAGTGAAAGAGCTGCTACAAAAAAGCAGATATCCTGTCTCTCATGCTTCAGACATATACAGATACTTAGTGTTGTATAAATACCCGGGAGTGTATTTAGACTTGGACATGATAGTAGCGAGACCGTTCGGGACTCTGGCGCGAGATTTTGTTAGTAGGGAGACGCAGAGTGTTGTTGCGTCATGGGCGCTCGGCTTCTCGAATAGCCCAGTAGGTAGAAGGATGGCAAGAATAGCAAAAGTGTAAGTCCTACTTCACGACTACACTTAAATACGCGTCGCAAACATTCTTTTTCCTTCTAAAAAAAATACGTCACAGCGATTGGTTTCATAGTTCTCACATCCTCTGGAAAGACCGAATATGTTCAAACATGCTGTGTCCAAATACCTACTCATAACCATTGGGCACTGCAATAATGATGATATTGTCTGTATATGATTTTGTCCAGTGATATTCGGCGAACGTTCTCCCCGGACGTGTGGGGCAGCAACGGACCAGGCGTAGCAACGCGCGCTCTTACACAATTCTGCCTCACCAAAATCCGCAAAACCTCCACTCGATGGCACACAGACGCCTGTCAAGGTACATACGCCTAACCCACTAACAACGAAGGAAGAACTGGGCAACTTAGTGCTCAACATAAAGCTCAGAATAAAATATAAAACAAAAATATTTTTAAGTACTCATTAGAAAACGATACATGAATTATCTCTAGAATTCCTGGAAAATTTTGTGAATCTACTTTGCCATGTAAACAGTTCATCGCGGCAAGACATGTTGCAAATTTTAAGACTTTCTGTTACCATTGTTTCAGGTTTAGAAATCTATGATACCCGATACTTCAGTCCACGCGTAAGATACTTCACAGAAGGTGGTGATTATTTTGGAATCGCATATACGCACCATTTTTTTAACAAACTGACTCACGGCGTGTTTATTAGTAACGGCTCCCTGTACATGAAACTAGCCAGAAAGTACTGTCCTACAGTTTGTAAAATATACGGACCTCGTTTTGGTTTATAATGTCAACTTTTGTATTTTCACTACTCGATCTTTTTTTTCTTTTTTTTTGTTACACCTAGTGACGGGACGAACAAGTCATGCTGCCCATAACAGTTGCAGTGTTGCTCACAGCTTTAAATCATAAAGATTTGGGGACATCACCACTGCGCTTGTAATTTCACCAAAGAACAGCAAAACATCTAAGGGTGTAACGAAACGTTACAACGCTGTTAAATTCACTTTAGAGTAAATAGTTTTTCAAATTTAACACTTTTAAAAATTTAACACAAATATTATCTTCAACAAATATAACCTATTTTTAAATAATAATTGATTATAAAAACATTAAAACCATGATTTACCATAGACAAAATTGGTTAAATCTATGGCAGCTTACGTTGCATTTTCGAATAAAGTCGGAGAGGAGGCGAGGGTAAAACATCGAAACCAACACCGTTCCGGAGTCCCGTTCTCTCAGATTTCGTCAGAACGTCTTCAGAGCCAGTCCACGCTCGGCTTGGCCGCGCTCACATGAAAAAAACCGGTACGTATATTCAAAAGTGCAACACTTTTATTTTTAACGGAGATTGCTTCCCAATCACATAGAACGTACTTAAATAGTTGTGCAAGTGAAAGTTCCCGCTTTGAGGTAACTTGAATGACACACAAAATACTTGTAACGCTTTTATTTGCTAATTTCATTTAATGTCGTTATTGCAGCTCTTTCTACGATAATATAGATATGTCCAACGTACATTTGAACCATAGTACGGTACAATACGCTTCGTGACATTTTAAAGATTGCGATCCAATTTAATTGTATTTTTTCACGAGACGTTTTCTTTGGCTTATTTAGTTTTATATTTTATTTTCTAACAATAAGTAAACGTCTCGGCCTTCAGCCTTATTACCTAAACTCTTTTTTTTATATTTTTACACATTTTAAACTGCAACTCCGTTCTGGTCGCGCCACCGGCAATTGCTACTTCGTAGGTGCTTCCCTAATTCTTTTTTGCCGTCAGTGGGCTTTCAGAACGGAGGCAAAAGGACTGTTACTACCAGTTGGTTGTCCGTTGCAGGAGTTACCTTCGAATTAAACTACCTTCGGGTTGGAAAACTACCCTCGGGCTGGAAAGCTACCTTTGCTGAGCTTCCTTCGAGTTCATACCGTTTATCATTTTTTTTTTTTCAAATTTTAAATTGTAATTAATTTTTTTATTATAATTAATTCAATTTTCGGATTTTTTTTTTTGATTTTCTACCCTCATAGGGAAAATAAATCTAGAGAGGTAGGCATTCTACACGGGCGGCCCGCTATCCATCGAGAGTTGCTTGGTTGCCACCTTACTAAGAGAAAGAAAGAAAATACATTTATTTGCATACCACAAACACCATACAAATAAAAAGAAAAGAAATAAACAACACAGAAAAGAAAAAAAAGGAAAACAAAAACATAATTATAAAATTTTCACTCTGAAGACTAAAAATAAATAATTACAAAACAAAATCACAAACAAAACGAAGCCTATATTAAACCACAGATTACTTAAATAGACATAAGCAAAGACACAAGTATAAATGTAGGTACCTAGTGTGGTGCCAGTCGCGGCTACAAAAGGGTCACTAACTCAGTATTTCCTGGAAAACTCAATACGTTCCCAGCACTTTGTTCCAGTTAGGACCTTAAATGGGTTTACGGAACAACGTACGCAATAATACCTACTTAATAAAAATAATAAATTACACGTAAAATATAGTAGACATAAGCCTCTATATGTGTTTGCAAGTACTTATAAGTAAGGTATATGAGAAAGAAAATACATATCGCACATGACAACTAACATAATATTATCTCAAAATGCTTTTAAGCTATATTAATATCACCTATTTAGTTTTAAAGCGGCAGTGTTGTCCTGTCACTTTGAAATTAAATCGTATATGAGTGACACATAAACATAGCAAAATTTTGGAGATACATTTTTAATATATCGCCATATTGAGATAAAATATAATATAACGCAATTTTTGAATACTATGTTAGTAGTCAAGTGCGATATAAGTAACTAATATAATTACAAAAATGTTATTGTTGTAACATAAATGTAATCAATAGATGATATGTGTGTGTATAACAAAAGTATAAGTAAATAAGTGCCGGAAAATGTTAGGTGCATTTTCCAACAGAAAATCCTTGAGCTACTACACCGAACAGCATCACAGAAAGATGAAGCTGATGAGGAGCTGTCTTGTTTAACAAGTTTGCAGCATTCAAATACGGACTGCTATGGGATCTAGGAGGCACCCGGAAGCAAAAGTGCATGCGTTTTGTACACGTTGTATTAACCTCTTAGACGTGCCTGCAATACAACCACCATAGACAACATCACAATAGTTCAGTCGAGATAAAGTCAGTGATTGATATAAAGCTCAACAGAACTAACACAAATTGGTTACACCGAAGGTAAACGGCAAGCTTAGTATAAAAAAACTTGCACGTATATGACATGAGATTTCATTTTAAAGTTTTTGTAGTTTCTCACATTGTTAAATGCATTTGTATTACTTCATACGTTTGTGTTTATAAAGTTTTACTATTGCTTTTAATTAAAGATCTAATCTAATATGCTATAAACCCACAACATGCGGCGCAGCGTTTTGTTCAATAACATTGTTTACATGAGTATCTTATAAATGATCGTGTACTTTTAAATCGTTAAGTCCGCGTCTGAATATTATTATACTATTGGTGAAGCATGTCAACAATCACCAAGGACATGGAAGCGAAAGTGCCAAAAAAGAAAGTAAAATTTGTGTTAATTGCTATAATAGTAATTGTTACATTTTCATATTTTTACTTCAACAGACCGGTCCTTGTGCGTCGAATCAATAAACTTCGGCACAGTCCATGTTTTTTAAAAAGACATTACGACCTTTTACCTAAAATAGAAACGCGAGTGAATCCGCTGGCGCGCAATATATTTTTCGTCGAGAAAGAGTGCGGGGAGTTCACGGCGCGCTTCGCGTGCGCCGTCGAGGCCGCGGCACTCGCCAACCCTGAAATGCAGGTCAACGTGCTCTTCATCGGCCCAGCCTTTAATGTCAGAAAGCTTGTAGCAATACAAACACAATTCCCCAATGTCAAATTTGTCAGAATCAACCTAGAAAACTTCGCCAAAAGTTCCGACCTCAAATTCATTCTGAACCAAAAGTCGATACGATACAGAAGAATATTAAAAACAGGTACCTTGGATATTGTAAAATATTGGATACTCAACAAATATGGCGGCATATACTTGGACAAGAACATGATTGTGATTGGTCCACTCGCCAAGTACTCAAATAACTGGATTGTGCGAAAGAGTCGCTATTCGTTTGCGATAGAACCATTGGGACTGTTGAATGACGCCATCGGACATGTGTTTTTCCACATAATGTCTAAGTAAATACCTCATTTTAAGAACAGGCAATGCCTCTATTGACGACATATAAATGCAACATTTATAAAATATCATTGCGTTATACTTTTATATATATGTACATTCATATCATTTATACGTTTGCCTTGCGATTATATTAATATCATGCGTATAAATTATTTCGTTAGTTTGTGTATTTTTCAAACAATAAATTCTAGTATTTCAATTTTAGGGAAATATTGAAATTCTACCAGCGCACGTTACAATGGGACAAAAAACCGAGTCGGAAGTATGGTCGTTTAAGCTTTAGTGATCTCCTCGAGAAAGCCATGAAGAAATTCTGCAAGACCTCTTACACTCCCATCATGACCTCCAAAAACTGCAGAGGTACAATTGACTCGATACAATTAATCATGGCATTCAATCAATTTATTTCGCAGCTCTTTTTCTTTCAGCAAACAATGAATAGTGTGAATTTGTTTTTAGGTAACTGGCTTATAATATAATAAAACGAAAAACTAACAACCTACTTTTACCATTACTCTTTTGAACTTTGGAATGCGTCAATTGAAGAAATAATTTCTTCGAAGGACCTCGACATAGCCAAGGTCACAGTCTAACTAAACAAACTCTTGTGTTTCAGGGTTAAAAATATACCGCCAAGAAGAGTTGTACCCGCCGGAGTGGGACGACTGGTCCTATTTTCTCGAAACTGGCGAACTTGAGCAACACCATGCCTATTTGTTCCCTCTATTGAGAAATATTCCCAAAGATAAAAAAATCCTGAATACGTCACGGTACGCGAGACTAGTGAGTCAATTCTGTCCAATGACTGCGCACGCGCAGGGCAACGACTTCGAGTGGCTGAAGGACTTCACGAGTGAAGATTACATGCAACATAATAACATAACTCGAGAAATAATCACTGTGATATAAGCTGTAATTAATTACTAAGTAATGTATTGTTTGTGTGTAATGGTTAAAGAGTTATTATGTGACCCCTGTTGCTTGCCTCTAATCATTTAGTTGCACGTATAATAAAGACACCCAGTGCAATTAAAGGCTTCTGATATCCGCTGAAAGAAAATATATTGGGATACATAAACTCAAAAGGTTTCATATCTAGACAGTTGTCATTTACGACAATTTGGCGACTGGCCAACAAAAAATGGAATAAAATTTAACTTAAACACTAAATTTAAAATTTTCACGTTACGGTCTTTCTATTTACATAACTAAAGGCTCTACATTTCTTTCATAAGCATTAAAATTTCAATTCTATTCCTTTTGCTGTACAGCAGAGTGTCCTGTAAACAGATGCAGAAAGATATGGTGGAATGTTTGGGACGCCAGAAATTGGAAGTCACTGTCGACAAGTAACGATCGGTCGTGACGAGAATGCTTTCTGAATTTAGGCGATACAGTTTATTTACGCGTAGAGAAAGTTTGAAAATGTGTACACCTGAAATGCTGTAGTGTAGTAAGTAGTAGTCATATTAAGTTTATTGAAAAATCACGATGTTTTACTTCCACGATTTCAATTATTTTTTGTGATGTTACTCTACGAATGTGTTACAATTATTAATACAAAAATCGATTACTAAGAAAAAATTGTTCAATCCGGCTGGATTCGCACCAGCGCCTTCAGTATAACGTGCCTGACGCTTTCCCAACTGAGCTACAGAACGAACCACCAGACTTTACAAATTTTCCTATGCACTTTTTGCAAATCTTTGTTTTAAGTTTAAGGCTTATTTAATAAGATCTTTTAAAGCCTTGCAAATTCAAAGACCGAGACTGCAAAGTTAATTAGACCTAGGCTGGCAAATGGCCCAATAAACTTCTACTACAACTAAGCATACGCAATGAATGCAGGACAAGTCAGCCTTTTAATTTTCTCCAAGACCGGATGAAAAAACGCCCGCCATATTGGGCTTTTTCGAGAAAAAATCGAATAAAGGACAATAGGAGGGTCGGACTGCGTCATAATCATATTTTTCACGACACAAAGGAGTTCTTACGTTAATGTGGCCGGATAATAAATGAAAGCCAGGCGCATACGTGGGAGTCTTTTTGCGAGCTTTTTTGACTTTCCTCCGGCAAACATTTGCGGAGTATCCTTTTTTGGATTTTGGGAGTTACGTTGGTCGTACGCATGAGTTGGCCTTTCGACGGCGCAGAAGATGTTTGTCTTCATTTCTATTTTTTAGAACTTTTTGCGGAAATTTTTATGTTACCTCACTCGTTCTGACCGCCTTTTTCATATTTCATCACTATTATAGCGTTTGCGAACACAGGGCAGACCATTTTCAACTTTATTTGTCACCGAGGGCGCATTTCGGTTCGACACACAGGTGGAGACATTTTTATTCAAACTATCTTTAGAGGAACAATCACTACTAAACAGTAAAAAAAACGTTTATAACGCGTTCTCTGTGATAAAAATTTTGCTGACTCAGACTAAAACTCTGTTAGCATCGCAGACCAACCGGTTAGCATGATATGAACGCAATGGAAACGTGAACCAAACTTATTACCAAGTTTGAATCGTACTGGTCTGCGGCATTCGACATATTGTTTAAATTTTGGTTGTATTCAATTTCATGTTATTCATTTCTAACGCTGTGAAAGCGATTCCTTTTCATAGTAAAACGGTACCCTTTACCGTTATTTTTAACTGACACCAAACGTTTTACCACTAACATCAGAAACATTTTAGCGCGAAATGTGTACTAGACAACATGTAAAGAAAGAATTAAAAAGAAATAGCGAAGTTTTCAGACATTTATTGCTTGCTCTCTTCCTGGAGCAGCTGGAAGATGAAGGAGAAGTCCTTCTGGCCGTAGCCGCGAGACTGCGCGATGCGGTAGAGCTGCGTCGCCACCGCACCCAGAGGAATGGGAGAGCGAATGCCTAGAGCCATGCCGCTCGCCAGCTCCAGATCCTACAAAAACAAATTGTGTGCTCAAAAATCACGCACCTTGCTCAAATATAAACGCAAAAGCGATGTATCGTATACAATTCTAATGGTCAAGAAACAAAAAGCTTTGCGAAGCAACGTAAATCCATAGCCCTGTAAAGACTCGCCTAGAAACGACAATATGCAAAAAAGCAGATTCTTAGCAATAGATACATGTTTACACTTTTTACAAAATTAAACTAGAAGATCAGAAATCTTAAATTAAAAGTGACAAATTACCTTAACCATCAGCTCGTTCTTGAAGCCGCCATCATAGTTTCTGCTGGAGGGCGCGGTGGGGACGAGGCCGGGCACGGGGCAGTACACCTCAGTGGACCACGAACGTGCCGATGAGTTGTTTAGCACATCCAAAAGGACTTGCGGGTCGAGACCCATTCTGGAAAGAGACAACGCCATATCGCTGCAATCGATACTTTTTGGGCAATTATTGTCATCACCACTTTTTTCCTAATCTCTAAATTTGTAGCTTCAGAGTCATTTGTTAAATATTACGGAACAGGCGAACTTATTTAAAATTGAGAAAATCATTCATCCAGTATAATGTCACTTCAAATATCAACCTTATGCCAAAAACGTTAGGACAACCTTTTTTCGATTAGTTAAGTACGGTTACCATATTCTGATACCGACATGCACAATTCCAAGAAATATACTTATTCGCTAAATCAAGAATATAATGTGACTATATGGCCGTAACCGAATGTAATATCTTAACTGTTAAGACAAACTTTTAATCGTAATTGTGAACTTTTGAGCGAGAACATTACAATTTAAAATAATTAAAATAATTTATTTCAAAACATTACATCCATACACAAAAATTTTCAAATTAATAAGCACACACTTCCATTACATTAACCAAACAAACAAAAACAATTAAATAAACTTAAATAAAATAAAAATACAAAAATTACACTCAATTAAAATAATGTATCAAGCACTACACAATTAGATTATCCCACATTATATGTTCGTCCAGCGGGTTTGACAGACGTATAACAGACGATTGATATATAAATTTTCAATCTAATATACCGATGGCATAATGTTCATTTTATATAAACACTTCCGACATAATATTCACAGAGTCTAATGTATTATTAACATAACTCCAGTGGTGTTTAGGTGCAATGGTGAATGAACCGAATTTGTTTGCATTTTCTAGTTGGGTGGACCTCCTCCTGTGGTTTAGGTTATGTTGTAAACAAAAAAAGCATTTCTCTTCTTCTTTACGCAATTAAATATTCTGCTTAAAGTTTTAATAAATATAAAGCTATACAAAAACAAATTTATATTGCGATTGTACATTTAATGAAATAAAAACTTGTTATCGACATAATATAGGGCGCTTCAATTGATCGTAAAACCAAATATTGTGTTATATTATTTAATACATTATCCTGGTAGTACTTATATTATACCACTTGTTCATTATGTCATTTAATCATTATGTCTAATGTTTGTCGTACTGAAGGTTCATTATACACATTGAAAACATACCATTTGTTGTTATACCTTTTGTTGATTATATATAGTGAATGATTATATCCTTGGAAATTATATCAAACGTTGTTATACAAACTGAAGCGTTCAGGTCTGAACCTGCAGACTTGTGCACTGAACTTGTGCCTGAACTGATTCAAGCACAAATTCAGTGCACAAGTCTGCAGGCACGAAATTCCACTCCATAGCCGTTCGCCTTATAAATGTGGAACCGTAACACTTCGTGCGAATCCTTGGGATGTACATAACATAGGAGTGCCCCTCCCCCCAGTTTTGTCCTTCGATTGTGGAAAGGGTAAGGCGGAATTAAACGAAAGGTCAAATTTAAATACAGTGACCAAACTAAAGCTGCAACAATACCTTTGAGGCATATTGTATTAAATTAAAATACCCACTTGATACCCATATTCATGCACTCGGCAGTGGCCATCCCGGTGATGCCCATGAGCATGTTGTTGGTGAGCTTGGCGACCTGGCCAGCACCGCTCTGGCCGCAGTGGAAGTGTTTGGCGCCCATGGCCTTCAGCATGGGCAGGGATCGCTCGAAATTCTCTTTACTGCCGCCCGCCATGAACGCGAGTGTCGCATTTTGGGCCCCCATCGTACCTGAAATATGCGGACGTGGCATATTAGGTACATTTCTATGTTAACTTTAATTTTGAACATCGGTATGATGTTGACGCAAAATATACTGGACTGCTCGTCTGACTAACGAGATCCACATAGCTCCAGCTTAGTTACTCTAAGGGCGCTTATGAGCACTCTGTTGTTCTTTACTTGCACGGTGGAAGATCTTCCAAAGCGCGTAGTGATCCCGATTGTCGTGGGATCAATACTGGAAATGATATTTTCTAAACGGTTCTGGTTTCCAAATTTTGGTGTCTAAATCATTTCTTTATTCTGTTAATCATTCCCTGGTTACCCGAAAATTGGAAATTGTATGGCATTATTATACTAGTCAAGCGAGTAAAAGACGCCACGCCCGGTGGCGGTTTTATTTTATTATTTCAAGGATTGGAGACTTCACATGGTTCAACGTTAACAAGAGGTGATGTATTTAATAAAATATTCGCAATTGTACTTAACTTAAAAGTTAAAGCCGCAGGTTCGAATTTAACTTCAAAAAGTAAAGCAAAGTCGTAGGTTCGAATTCTTTTATCGGCTCCTGCCAAACCTTCGACCTGTCAATGAGTCACCGTCTCCCATTGGACTATCACCGCTCTCAATCTATCACAGCGGTATTTTGTACTTAAAATTTTCCAATTATGTGTATGATATTTGTGAACCGCGTGTCGTGTGCGATTACGAACGGCAAATACATCTTATCACTTTAAAGATAACACACTTGTTTTTCACTCGTATTATTTGCTGTGATAATATCCTCTTTACGTAATAGACCTACCTGTTGGATTTTGTTACTAAATCTTTGTTGTTAGAAAAATATCACGTTTCTAGTAATTAACCACACGGCGTAGATAGAGTTTACAAATATTTGCCAAGGAACCCTTTAAAAGAAATTTAGTCGTAGTGACAACTGTGCCATTGTGAGCGTTCAATTGTTAATCAGACTAAAAATTATTATTTAGTCAATTGGAGCTTCTTGTTAGCCGTAATGATAATCTACGTTGCAGGTTTTTCTGTATTTACTACACCCGGGTTGGCAGGTGCACTGAAATGATTTCGATGTTCATATGTAGCGTTAGTTGCAGTAGAGCTACTTGTGGAAGATTCGTCCAGGGTGGTGCTGACACCTTGCCTATTTCTACCGCCAAGCAGTAACGCGAGCATTACTGCGTTCCAGTTTTGAAAGATAGGGGTGCTGGTGAGGTTACAGCACACGGGACTTATCAACTCATGTCTCTGAGTGACGGGCGCAGTAACAGTGCACCTCAGCTCTTTGCCGTGGATAGTTCTGAGTGGCACTGCAACTACTATGCCTGTCCATAAACAGGCATGTCACTCACCACCAGGGGCACGACTTGTTTATACCGTAGCGCGTCAGCTGGTATCTTTAAAAAAATTATAGACAATTCTACAGTTACATCTTTTGGATTTTACGGCAACGCGAAAAGTAGCTGTGAATGATTTTATTTTTTAAACATTTTGATATCATTATTGCGTCCATTATTTTTGTAAGCGTGGTTGAAATATATATGGCGCTTACTATCGCGATGAAGTTAGTAGATGAATCCTTAGTCTATGTTTTATTTTTCATCAAATGTTATATAATTTGTTACAAATCTAAAAGTAAGTATAACCATGTGATTTATTCTTATCAGTGGATAAATGGTATCTTATTGCACAACTCGTGACATGCTCAAGCCTTGTTACGTAAAATTAGTTTTATTAATTTTCATTTCAGAGTTCTTTTTATCACTTTTTTATCGACACACGCCCCTGAACCGGCCTCGGAAATTACAAATTTCTTGCAACAATTTTCTATTGTACCCTGGAGTGGAATCCGATGTAGGTATATGTTGAACTTAGTGTGCTTGTTTTTGATTTAATAATAAGTTTATTTGTTTAAAAGTTCATGTTTTGTTCACTCTCATCAGCTCCATTAGCACCATAAAAGACTACAAGCTAGTAAGTTTCTCACCTCCCGAAACGGGCGCATCAATGAAGCCGACACCGTTTTTGATGGCGACCGGCTCGATCTCCTTCGGCACGTTGGGGTCCACCGTAGAAGAGTCAATGAGCAGAGCGCCTTTCGGAGCCTGCAACGTTCATACACGGGTATTCCAACTGACGCTATAAATAAACTAAACGGCGTTGATTAGTCTATCTGTGTAACAGCTATTAGATCGTCTGGGTACCTACTGCAGTTTTAACTCTATTTTGTCATCATTTAAGTCCTAAGAAAGACTTTTGATATTAATTTCCTCGCATTCAGAGCGTCTTGAGTTGACTTTGACTTGCAGGTGCACGACAGTCATTTTTGTTCTGTTTAAAGTTCACCGTTAAAGAGGTTCTAAAACTTTGATGCACTAAGAATATAGAGGTAGGGTGGTGGACTCACACGTGCGACTACGCCGTCCTTGCCTAGATACGCGTCGAGTACGACCTTGTTGCTGGGCAGGATGGAGACTACGGCGTCGACGCCGTCCACAGCTGCAGCGATCGAGCTGGCACCCGTCACGCCGGTCTTAGCCGCCTCAGCCAACGCCGCCGCCGACGGATCGTAACCGCGCACTACAAAACCCTGTTCACAAAACATAAATCCAGAGTAAATCCTTTCTAGAGTCCTTCCTCAACGCCCCGCGGATCGTGAGAGAATCTTGCATATGAAATTGAGCTTAAGAAAATTAGAGTTTTAGAAAGTACTACTACCCAACGCGCTACTTACTCGTCATTCGACTGGTGTGCACGACGCCGTGTCCCTTGGGAGTAATGGTTCGATAAGTTACCATTGTAGAAATGTGGCTATAGGTCAATGCTATTAGATGTATTCTAATAATTATAATATCATTGTATTCTAAGCAGCGAGCATAAATATTCTAAGTATAATGTTGATAATTTAGTACACAAATTACTTTTACAAGAGTTGCTAACAATCGTTAATCCCTGACAACTTGTGTCTGAAAACATTTTATCAATGTCGTTCAAAGTGAAAAGCTAATACAGAGTTGCCAACATAAAACTTGTATTTGACTCGAGAAAATGTGTTCCAAATTTTGTGAAATTAGCCACAATCCTAATGAAAATGGAGTAACGTGTATTTCATTGAGGCCCCTCGACCTTAAAATGTTTCACGCCGAAGCTTCCATCTACATAATTTAGCATAATCTTTGCATCAATTGAAAGGATTTTAATTTTAAATTCGGTAAAAGAAACATTAAACGGCTTTTCGGCGAGATTTTTTCTTAAGTACTTAAAATGCTTCGCGTAGAAATTGCACCACCCTCCGCTCCGCCCCTCCTGGAGCTCTCCCAATATAAGAATATTCATGTAATTCTTTTAGTCAAATGTCTTGCCCCGTATTTTTTACAAAATATGCTTTAACAAAATTCAGCGCAGAGTGCCACGAAATCTCAAGGGCCGATTCAAGTTTCTTCTCTACGCGAATGACATTGTTTATATTGATGTACGAGTAGGTACTCGTGGCACAATTATAATATGACAAATCGATACACATCGGTTGACTCGTTTCATTACACAACTTGTACGAAAGAGTGATAAAGAACAGTGCAGACAGAGATCGACTTCGTCGGTCAATCGGTCAACGCCGGTCATTATCTTCGGCTATCGGTCAAACTATTCAGTCAGATCGGGTATCACTGTCATAAAATATAAAAGATAACCATTTATTTCGTTAGGAGGTCAATCTATAATCTTTTAAAAAGTGGTGATTGAATGAAACTAGAACATATCACACGTTAGGGTTAGAAAATATGAATTGCTATGATATAGACGTCGGCCGCGGCCTTGGCGTATACTTGCGCGGACGACACTCACATTAGAAGCTATTGAAAGTATTATTTCGGTTAGGTTTGGTGCAAGATCCCGAGGAAACGGACCAAAATGGAATGATATAGATATTATCCAAATGCAACAGAATCGAAATTGATAGTTACTTGTGAAGAATTCACAGAATATTGTTTTTCGAAATAGATGAATATATTCATTCAATCTATGTAGATTAGTGAAGTAAATAAGTATATGGCTGTGCACAATACAACGGCCACCACATCGACGAGAGCATTACACTTCACACAATTCAGCCGCGTTGGTCTCCGCGCATCAGCTGGCTCAAGCCTTATCATCATGAACCCGTCAAACGGCCGCCGCGTGGACCTAGTTTCGGTTTGGGGAACTCGCATGTTTTCCTCAATTTATAAGCCTACTAGGAATCATCCTACTGAAACGAGCATGTCCAAATGCAAATTTCACCTCGTGGTAATTGATTTCCTTCACATTAGCGAGAGATATTTTATATTATCTCTGGAGTTAAGTATATCATAACAAATATAACATACGTAATTAGGTCAATTAATTAAAAATGTGTTTAATTTGCTTTGTTTATTACTTTGCATTTTTAGTTGCGTGTTTATTGACAACAAATGCATTACTAATTGAATAATTTAAATACAGTTAAAGGAAAAGCAATAAAGAATCGACATCAACATCGCGAGGTGAAGGGCAGCGCCTGGCAGCGCATTGAGATTAGCGTGTTGACTCGAAAGTGACGCGGGCGGATGTGATCGATGTTTTGATATCAAATTATGTAGTTGGTCAGTTATTCATCTATGTACTAATTATAAGTAAATAAAATGTTTCTTTATGTAGGTATACACCCATTAATAAATTTAACATTACATTATATTGCATTAGTTTACTTTAAATTACTTTACTGTATTGTTAAATTACATTAGACATTGGTACAACGTTCAATTTTCACTCTTTTTATAGTAAACTATTACTAAACTATTTGTGTTCTCAGAAAACATGCAGTACTTTACTCGTAACTTTATTGTTAATATTAGATCTTTCATTATTTATTTGCCTTGTGTAAAAGTGTCAACTCTGAACATTTTAAGGTTTAAAGTCTCACCTCCGGACTCTCAGGCCCATTGATGTTCATAATATACCTTATAGTAAAAAACAAACTTATTACTATCTCATGCATACTCGGGGATTCAACCCTATGCGAACGAAATAAAGTCGTCAAATTTATCGTGGAACACTGACCGTGGAAACATTCAAAACATTATATCCACTAACCGGCGTTGACATACACATTTATAAATACTTGCCTGTTTAACTAAGTTGGCCGCCATGTATTTGCCCATGTTTCCGAGGCCGAGGAAGGCGACATTCTTGTCTACTTTCGAGCTATAAGCTCTTTTTGAAAATGTGAGGTATTGAATGGAGAGGACCGACCGCGCCGCCATGTTGTATTCTTAATTTAACTTGATACGATCGACGCCGGCGCGCGCGCAGGGCAACTGGCCGGTGTTGAGTTGTGTTTGATTAACATTGGAATTGCGTTCGAGAACTTGTCTTGTGATAATGTTATCGAGTTTTTTTAATATTTATTTTGTCCGCTGCTGCTTGAGTGGCGCTTCCAATTTTTTTAATTTGCCTTTTGTAAACTGTACATAGTATATTTAAAATATTTTAGCACACCCCAAGGAAGCACAGTAAATATAACTACCACCCAAATTTCCAAGTTTCAGAACACACACCTGTTTTGATAACCGACTTCTGACGTAAATCATTATTTGCATACATATGTTGTATATATTTTATAGGTGTATTTGGAAAGATTTTACTGTCAAGGTCGCTGCCGGCGCCGGAGCCGGCGTTGTCCCGCACCACACACGTCCGTAAAATGGGTGTGTCAGCCAGGATATCTCTATTTTCTATTTCCTCTTGAATAAACAATAATGTGTTTTAATAACAGAACGTAAATATTTTTACAATATGTAACTGAAGTATAAATTAGAAATGGGATCTGGCTTGCCTGACCCAACATGCGTGGACAGAAACAAAAAAGAATTTCGTTTAAACATCGCGCATGTGAATGTATCGCACTTCTTTTCCAATTAAAATAAAGTTTCTTCGTTACTGATATTCATTTATTTTGTGCAACATCTTCACACCGGTAGGTAGGTAGGTCTGGTCTAACTAGTGGGCTAGTTAGACCAGACTCTCGTAACAAGTAGCTCTACATTTGGGCATTAACAATTTTATCGACTCACTTATCGCGTACCTGCAGCCGCTTATCGACAGGCTATATTGGGGTCGTGACGTTCACCACTGATAGTCCACTACTTGCCACGTGTTGCCACGGCGCCTAACCAGATGTCACGGGTCACAGGTGGATGTCAGTTATCAGCTGACATAATTATTAAAACTCATTTATCTGTGGAATTGCAGGTAGTATGTAAATTGATAGTAACAAAATAAAATGACGTTATGACTGAGTATTGTTTATTGACTAGCATACACTAAACTTGTGTACTATGTTTTTTAATACATTACACTATAAATATCGCGTAGGCGTGCAAACATAATTGATGAAAAGACCCTAGATATTCTAGGGCACCTTGGTCTATAACAAAAATAACAAAATCATCTTCTGGTTAATAAACAAATAAGTTATGAAGTCTCAAATATTTTCCAAAAATACCGAACCCGGTGCCATCGCGCCGCAGGCAGCGGCCGCACAGCAGTCATGCAACGGCTACTCTGATGTAGCTGTGTTGGCTTTAGTAAATACCGCATAAGTTTTTTCTATATTTCCGGTCTTTTTCACCTGTCTGTCTAACTCGTCAGCTAATAAACTGTTAGCGGCCCCATCTACCTACACCGTCCCTACAACTATGGCAGGCCGTTAAAACAGTGTAATTAAATACATCACCCTGCTACTAGATGGCGTTGCTTTGTAAATAATATAGTGACGACTAGGTTTCGTTATTTATGATTGTTAATAATTAATATTGATCGATGAATATAGTAAATATAATAATGTTGTAACGATAATAGTAACAACAATAATTGTAAAATTGTAGCACTGTTTAGTTTAAGGGAAAGGGTTGATTTTATTGTCTGTATAAGAGGTGCTCTGTCTTTAGTGTAGGAATATTTTTTCACTGTCTGCGCTTATTTCAATAAAAGCCGTTACGCTGCCCGTCCGACTCTTAATTTTCGCCACTCCTATAATAAAACACAACGTTTAATTTCGCCCCACAAAAAGAAATCACAAGAAGTGAGATACAGTGACTTGGAAAGCCAAGATACTGGTCCGCGGCAACCTTTCGACTTGGTTTCGTACCCATTTAAGCTTCATAATGGCTCTCACCACCTTTGATGGCGGGAATAATAAATAGCGCATACACCCGCTTTCGGCTTGCCTGGCGGCAGGCATAGGTGCCGGTGACGGTCCTTCCCCGCTTCCCGCTCGTGTTACACATATTATTATTAGGTGCATCTTACTGCAAAATTTTTAATATTGTTCATTTTATACGCTCATTTGCCGAATTGCCCGAACATTAAAGTAAGGCGGTTTAACGCACATTTTGACTTCAACTAATTCTTTACTTAGCTTTCAAAAATATTCGCCAAGAGCAAATATCTCGCCCATTGCAACAGAATTTGTTAAGCAAAACATAACAATATCCTAAATCAGTTTAACTCTTTCATGGCAACATTTAAACCCCGAATGGCAATGTAGAGTATATTTTCATTGACGCATACCATTTTTATGTCTGATAGTAGCCAAGCGCGGCGCCGTTCGCGGCGTGTTATTCTTTTAATGGCGCAACTTCTTATTTATGTTCCTTTTAAGCGGCGAGCAACTCCGCGTGATAGGACGAAGTCGGTATGCGATTGAATTTCACTAGACTACACTATTTAATCGTAAAGGCTGACAAACCAGTTCTGTAATGCTTTGCTGTTTGACATTCAAGTATGTTGGAAGTACTATCTGAATATTTATTTATGTCAAGGTCGTCATGCTGGTCAAGACGCGGGAGATAATAAGAGTAACGTTTTTATTAGTTTAATCAAAAACAGTGTTAATAATAGGGGTTAAAGTATGAAATTGCCGATTTGAACTGAAAATCTAAATTGTTTATTTTTTAAATTTTTAACAAATTTATTTAATCAAAATAGTTGCCATTATTATCTATACATTGCTGCCATCTAATGGGAAGGTTATTAATGCCTTTGCGATAGAACTCCGACGATCTAGACTGCACAAACTGTGTGAAAGCATTTTGTACTGCCTCCTGGGAAGAAAACTTCTTGTCACGTAGATAATTGTCCAAATCACGAAAAAAATGGTAGTCCGTTGGAGCAAGGTCTGGTGAATACGGAGGATGACGAATGGTTTCTAACTGCAGTTCCTGAAGGGTCAAAATGGTTTCTCGTGCTGTGTGAGGTCTCGCGTTGTCGTGGAGCAATAATGGTGAAGATCGATTCATGAGTCGGGGCTGTTTTACTGCTAGTTTTGTCAACATGGTTCGGAGTTCGGCACAATAGACATCTGCCGTTATTGCTTGACCAGATCGGAGAAAACTATAGTGAATAACACCATGCTGAGACCACCAAACAGTTACCATTACCTTTTTATTGGTAAGTTTTGCTTTAGGACACTGTTGTGGCATTTGACCTGGGGTCAGCCATTGCATTTTTCTTTTCCGGTTATCATAAAGAATCCACTTTTCATCACATGTTACAATTCGATCCAATATTCCTTCATTTCTGTACCGGTTCAACAAGGCAACACAAGTTTCAACACGCGTTTCTTTCTGCAGATCAGTCAAATCATGAGGCACCCATTTTTCGTATTTTTTTATTTTATTGATTTGACGCAAGTGAGTCAATATTGTGGGTAAGGTAACGTTAAACCATGCCGCTAATTCCTGGGTAGTTTGACTAGGATCGGCTTCCACTATCTCTCTTAATTCATCGTTATTCACCTGTGTGGGCGGTCTTCCTCGTGGCTCGTTCTTTAAGTCGAAATTTCCATCACGAAAGCGTTTAAACCAAAATCGCACGGTGCGTTCATTAGTAGACCCCTCTCCAAACGCAGCATTGATATTGCGGGCTGTTTCTGCCGCGTTAGTTCCGCGTCGGAACTCGTATTCAAAAATCACTCGAATTTTCGCAGTATCCATCTTTCTTGTCTAAATTGAATAACAAAAACAATTGAAAGTCGATATTCAAATGTTTCAAATTTAAAAAAAAAAATCACAGAAACCATTTGAAAAAAGTTTCATTCGAAAACCTCAAACCATGAAGATTCTATGAAAATTCAAAGAACCTATTGCAATAAAACGGCAATTTCATACTTTAACCCCTAATATTATTAATTTATACTATATTAATATTATATTATTAATATTCGAATACAGTGAAGAGGTCTGACGGAAGCAAGTTGAAGATCGTTGATTAGACAAATGCAGTTTCAGACTCAAATATCAATAACACTGATAGCAATAAGCGGGTAAACTACATATCATTAAAGGCTTAGAGAATGTTATTCTGCGACGCCCTTTCATTGGTAGTATGAACCTTACAGTAGGGGACAATAAGGGATATTGGACCAGCAACTAAATTAGACCATCATTTGACAATTGGACCTTATATCTCAAAAAGAATTTTTGTAATTGTTTTATTGGCATAACCCAGCGATATGCGTCTGACTTCATTTCATATTAGCCATGTTGTTTTTGTTGTGATATTGAACGTCTGTGTTTGTTAGAAAAGTCTTTTTTGTTATTTTTAATGTAAACTCCATAGATCCCTGTTTGTAATTTACTGCATAGAAATGTAATTTAGCTACAATCGACTTACATGAAACGATTGCCGGCATTTATAAGCTATATTTTCTTAGATTTGTTTTTATAATATATCTAATCATATTGTTGGTTAAAATGGACCAAGAGTGTGAAATGGATGAATGTTCAAATGGTCTTAAACGGTTCAGTAGCAGGCTTAGATCAGATGACACGGGTAATAAATGTGCTAAATGCAAAAGAATTAAGAGCTCCCAAGTTGATTGGACACAGTGTGCGCGGTTACATAATCGAAATCAAGAACCATGTATTCAAAATCCTGACATTTGCAATAATTGTCTTGTGTGAAGACCTTTTTTTTATTAGCATGTTATATGATGTTTCATTATAATTTTTTATTTGTTTTACCTCAGAGCCTATTGAATTTCAATTTAGCGACCCCGTGGTCCAAATTACAGAACTAGTCGGCTAAATTGGAACCAAACTCGGATCTCACATTTTGTTGATATATTTAGATGTCTATAATAATTTGCCTCATAAATACAAACTCTAATAATTATTCTTTCATTTCATACAATAGACGTTTGTAAGAATCTGAAAAATAAATATTTAAACCGCGTTTAACCGAAATGGTCCAAATTAACAGGCTTTCCCCTATTTGTTGGATTCCATGTAATATGGCCAACGATGTGAGTTTTGTATAGACGACAAATTCCCAAATATTTTTTACAAGCAGATATGTTCAAAGGAGAATTCCACATTGAACTGGTCGATATTCCTCAGCTTCACACCATCGGACTTAGCATTTAAAACTAGTGTAACGTATATTAAATATATTAAAATGCATATGTTTATTTGGTAGTACGATTGGATAGTTTGAATTTCCAACGGCATTGAAGTTCACTCCGCAATACCTATGTTAAAATTTGGTTAAAATTTGTACTTACGGGTTTATTACTGCCCCGAATTTTAACAGGGTTTTCTTTGGTAAGTTTAATCCTACAGAAGTGTCAGTGTGTTGCCTACAAAATACGTCGTGGCATTCCCCTTGCATAACACTCCTTTAAAGAGCGCCATCTCCGTGGCTCCGTACTAGACTGCTTTGTACAAATACCCGCTTGATGCGCACGATACATTTTTCAGCATACTAAATAACATGTGTTATATAATTAATTGATTCACCTGTCTTGTTTTCGGCTACGTTTGTAGTTTAATTTATTATTTATTTCAGGTTATACTGTATTGTTTTGTGTTTGTACAACACACGGTGATGAGGTTGACCTCTTTAATAATTTTATGACATTTAATATTGTGCTAAGTTTATCCAACAGTTTCAATCCTGCTTACTTGTTTGTGGAAATTATTAACACGACTAATTACTATTAGGTATCTGCGAGAAGATTTGTTTAAATACTAGCCGCATCTACTTCACCGATTTGTTGAAATAGAATAAACAACAACTAATATTATATGCCGCGACAAGACGGGCGCTGGCTCCAAGTCGAGTCCGATAAATCAAACGCAGCTCTGCAATAATCCGAGCGATAAATTAGGAAGTTCCCGCGGCGTATTTCTAACTTCCGCTCATACACTTTGTATTAAAGTTTGCTAATATTGCAGCGCATGAAAGCCGATCGCTTTGAAGCCTTTCACGTATGTCAAACCACACTCAGGAACTCTGTACACAGCGCTTTGTTTCAAGCATCTCAAGGTAACCCATAGACTTCATCTTCGTTCCGTTTCTAAATATGTTACAGGAGAATGTTTTGGGCCGCAGTCGCATCTACATATTTATCGAAACTCCACGATCGAAAAGGTGTTTGTCCACGAAGCCGTCAGGTGAACCGCCGACTTATTACATTCTGCATTGAGTTCGGGTTTCATTAAGTATTGGTATAAGTTAGGAAGGGTTCCAATTCAAAGATAGCAGGGAATCATTTATTTATCATAATATATAAGACAAATAGTTTTGTTAGCCAACAATTTACTCTCAATCATCTTGTTACACAAATATCTTATTCTAGCTTTAAAGTCTAAGAAATACGTTTTTCATTTTTTGTACAAAGTCAACTAGCTAACTACAACATCGTAACTTAATCAAATGCTTAACGAAACCGAAGTAAAGTTATACTACGGAAACTTCCGGCCCGGAATAAATATTAGTATATTGGTAGGAGGCATGATGCATAGTTTGCATACTTTGCAACGTCTACTTGTATGTTACGGTACCAACGACGACGAACAAAAACCACACATATAGTCAAATAAGAACGTTTTCAAAACGACGTGAGTTTTATTTTTGATGGTAAATTTTATTCCGTTTTACAACTAACACGTCGTCACTCCTTTGCCGTGTTTCTTCCTAGAACGAGTCTTCTTATTGCTTATATGAATAAATAAAGGATTTGTGTGTATTATAGCACTGTAAATTAATACTTGCTAAATAAAATATAAGTAGGTTTAACCACATAACAGGAACACAAAATAAATGCGTGTGGTTTATTTACCACAAAATGTCATAATTCACTAAACCGCCATGGAGATGTCTGCTGGCCTCGCCAAACTCAATATTCAATAAATATGGCGTAATTACTCCTCTGACCAATCCACCGAGATCTCTTCTACCGAAAGATAACACCAACGTGTCTTACACGACAAGAACAAAACTGGTAATCGCCAACTCTTCGAAATTATTTGCAGGACAAGACGAATTTCCATCACAATATCACAGTCTCGAGCACTCGTCTTCTGTGGAGAACGTAGGATAGGCCAAATCTGAACCTTGCAACCGTGAGATGAGGTACTCTTCGGCTTGAATGAGCATCTTTTGGTCGAAGTGAGTTTTCCAGCTGCCGATTTTGCCTGCAAACAGTTTCAAAACGTACTCTGATAATAGTTGTCGTATAACGAATTTATTTATTGTTAACAAGTAACCATTTTCTAATTTGCTGTAGAGGTTATTGGCAAACATGTACCTACTTCACTTCATTTTCAATAAATCGGTAACAATCAATTTGTACAACTATTATTTACATTTATGTGCAATTTAGAGCACTTTATTTATGTTTGCACAACTTTTGTCGCGAATAAAGAAATTATTATTATCATGAAAGCGAAGTCCGTATCCAAAATCCCGTCATTCGTCCAAAATCCCGTCACTCGGCGCTGGTAAAGTACCGGTTACAATTTGGAGAAAATGCACCGGAATTCATCCTTTATACTCAAACAAAAGATACACGTGATGTGTTAAAAACAAAATCATCAAAGTACAAAACTAACTAAAGTTCTAAGTACCATTTCTTATGAACTGCACGGTTTTGTCCGTGGAGTTATTGACGTTCTTGTTCTTGCGCAAGCTTTCGAAGCTGAGGTAGTCCGCTAGCTGCTTCATTTGCTCCTCAGAATATTCACGGTTCATGAACTTGCACATTCGGAGAATCTCCTTTGGTAGGTCCTGTTGGAGAAGTGGGTCTGTAGTAAGATTGAATTACAAAATAATGTCCAGTCGATAAGGCTGTAACGGACATATTTTTATTTAATTATTTTTACAATGGAGTAAATATTTATGTAAATAAATTGTGACACTAAATACTTTCGCATGTTGTAGTTTTTTAAATTCACATTCGTATACAGAATGAAATCGATCCTAATGAAAATGTCGATAAGATCGCAATTTAAAACGAAACTGCACTAATAAATTACCTGAATCAGATCTTCATAAAATAGGAAATGGAGATTAGGATGATTCCTCTGCTGCCAAGCCTCGATCGTGTGTGCTACTACGGGAGTCCAAGGCACTAGAATGAAAAGGTAGATTTAATTGATCGAAAGTTCGACTATGTTGGTTATCCACAACTTAGGCTTGATTAATATCGCCAGGGCGCATCGCAAGGCGACGCGGCGCTACAATAAGCACGGGAATACACGTACGATTTCGTGTCTGATGGTTGGATCCGACTATCGGATCGGATTCACTCAGTACACGTCCGATAGGCGTCCGATTCTTTTCGTCAGACTTTTTCTGAACTAACTGCAGTGTTGCCAATTTAAGGGGTATTTCACAAACACAGGGAGTTTCAATTCAACAACTAGTTTGGGGATTTTGTTTGGATTACGCTATGTGGGGAAAACGCCCTCGCATTCTAGAATTTTATCATATTTTTGTTACATTGATGATCAGTGATGAAAACACTATTTATTTGTTTGTTTATAAACGATAGTGATATTTTTACATAGCAACATTTATATAGAATTATTAGCAAACCCCTTATATGTATAAAATTATCCAGTAGGATTAGAATCACTTTATCTTGTATTGTAAAATTACTACTATTATCAATCACCGACAAGAGCCTAGCTCTTGAATAGAATGATGATGATCAGTCTGTGCGTGTTGAGCGCGCGACCCTTCCTCGCGTTTTGACCGGTCGGCGGTCCCACGCCGAGCTGTGGGTTTTTTAAAGGACTATTCACACACAACAGGCCCGTGCCCGGGACGCGGACGGGGCGTGCTAGTTTGTATGAGCTGCGGGCGCGACCCGGCGCCGCGCCGGCCCGGACACGGACATGAACGACTTCATACAAAATATACGCAACGATATTTTTTGAGCCCCTGACGGAGTACGGCCCGTCCACGTCCCGGGTATGTGTGGATAGCCCTTAATACCACAACTTGCCACTCATAATTATAGCATAACGTATATGTATAGATGGGCACATTTTGGCTTTCTTAATTATTTGATATATTTTTAAGCGTAACAATAATAATATAATAAATACTGAGAATGAATAAATATTATTACTTGTGACCTTAGATCCCCCCAAATTTATAACCTTGATTTTTGGGGATTTTGAATAATTTGCATTGACAACGCTGCGAGTCGGAGGGAAGAATCGGACGTGTATTTTGTCGCCCCGCAAAAGTTTGTTTAGTAAGTTTCAGACAATCGAACCGGTAATAAAATCGGATGCTATTTCCGACTCGGACGTGACGTCGTATATGATATGTGTTCATACAATTATATGGTACGAGCGCCTTCCGGTAGTCGGATCAGACTATCGGATCCAACTATCGGATTGAAAACGGACAAGCATTCCCGCTATAAAACGAGCAATGCAACATTAACGTTATCCTGTACAAAATAAAGCAACATTTCATTGGACAAACTGCTTCAGCGGGTTGCGGTAGGCGCACTTTATAAAATGCAATATACTATAGAGCATATTCTCTACCGAATAAAGTACACATTTCTTCAAAAACAAATAACAAGTCGCCGACGGTATGTAACGGTTGGCGACCGTAGGCGACTTCGCGCAGGGAAGCCGCCGTCTGTCGTCAGCTTGTGCCGCCAAAGGCAAAGCAAAATGTCACTTAGCTTCTCAACAACAAAGTATAATTCTTTGAAAGGCAGTTATCAGCTGATCGACGCCGGTATGCGTAGCGCGAACTTTAGAAATAGCAATGCAATATAGAACTTCTCATCTAATAAATAAATATTTCTTCTCACGCGAATCTGCTATACGAATGGGTAGTTGTGTTTATGCAATTTGTAGATTTTACATGCAATTAATATAACAGGCCAAATAAGATGACCGCGGTGATCCAACGGTTTGAGCACAGCATGAGAAGGTTCTGGGTTCGGTTCCCAGTAGAACCAATTTGGGGAAATTAACTTTTCTAAAGTGGTTTTGGCCTAGGTGCTCTCGGTAGAGCGGCGGAGTGAATTCCGTAGCTCTCGGTTCCGGCTCGGGTTCCATTCCCGGTAGAACCAATTTTAAAAATAAACTATTCTAAAACTATCCACTCCATTACATTTTATATCATTCATATTTTATAATGACAAGTTTTATATATATAGGAAATAAAACTAATTCTTCGGATCTAAAGTTCGTATAATTTTTTTTTTCAAAACGAACCTCAGATCCGAAAAAAATTGTCTCATTTCCTATGTGTAACAATCGCGAGAACTTAAAAACTCGATAAGTTTTGTATACTTTCATAATACGAATATTGAAAACATGCTAGTTAGTAGGCACTCACGTAAATCTTTTCGAAATGCATCCCAGAAAGTCTTGAGAGACGTCCTGAATAAGCCTTTCGCGACCATTTTGTAGAAATAATAATATGACACTGCCACGTCTCTAGGATCCCTCGCCACATAGATGACCTTGGCTGTGTCCAGCAGCTTAGGAGGTAGAAGAGAGAGCGGCAGGTGGGTCTTGATGAAGCGAGGCGACGGCGCGTTGTCGACGGATTTCCAACTGGGAACCCTGACCGCTTCGTTTAGCCCTTGGAAGGAGCGCAGGTTCAGGAAGTTCATTTTTATCAACTCGAACGCTAAGTCCGGTATTTTAGATGTGATTCTAAAACAAAATATGGGAAGTCAAGCACTAAACCACTGACTCTGCTCCGCAATTAGATTTGATTTTAAAGGAACAAAAATGTCCTGCATCCAAAATTTACTTACTCAACCATAGGGAATCTCTCGTACAAAGGTTTTGATCTCGCTGTTTCGAAGTCTAAATTGTTTTCTACGAGCCATACTAATTCTTGCGTCCATGTAGTTCCTGGATTGGAATAAACAACTTTAGTGCACATGCAGATGCCCCTCGGAAGTGTTGACGGATATACACGCGCAATTCCCAACATCAATCAGACGGACATTCCTTTTAAAATTGACACTTAGCCTTGTGTCAAAATCTGCATACAATTAGAAATAATATAATCTCAGTACAGAGTATTAAAAAAACCGACCTCAAAAGTACGTGGATTACATCTATTTGCCAAGTTTGTTTTGAAATCGGTTACCGGAAAGTGCGCAAACCCGGATTCATCCCCTAGTTCGCCACTATACGGAAATTGACACAGGAGATAATGAAAATCGGTTCTCATTACCAAAATATATTGAGAGAGAAAAACGCATTGAATTGGAGAATAGCAAAATCAACCATTAAAATAATTGCTCCTTACAATAAAATTTAGGCGCTATTTATAAAAATGAATCTTCGTGCGTGAACAGCCGCTCTTAGAGGTGGATGATTTTCTTCAAAATTAAATGGGACCACCATTTAATTTTGAAGAAAATCATCCTATGGAGATACCCTCTTTCCAACAAAAAAGAATCATGAAAATCGGTACACAAATACCGGAGTTATCGCGTAACATACATACAAAAAAACATACAGTCGAATTGAGAACCTCCTCCTTTTTGAAGTCGGTTAAAAACATAGTTTTATTTATTACATTAATGTAATATTTTTATATATTACATACCCTTTGGATGTAAACCAAATGGATTCATCACATAGCACGTGATCATCAGGATGTGTCATCATATTATATCACCTACGCATTGGCCGTATTAGAGTACGTAAGGCCAAATATAAAATCGATAACACTAAACTTCTAGTAGTGATATTGTTATCAGACATTTATCTCGACACTATCAACGCTAGTGACGGACCGATAAAACCCATAAGCTAATTTCGTACTTGTTTTGAATTTGGTTTTCATTTTTTAGCCTGGCTCTGGAATTGGCTTTAGTACTGAACATGATCTTTATGAAGTCGTTTGATAACAATTCTGACCTGATCGTGGAAACGTGATGACCCACACGTCGTCAGGTCGGACCTGCAGATTGTAGATGTGTTCTGCATGTTTCTCGAAGGCTCCCGGCATCAAGTAGCCGTGTTTGCCGCAACGCACGAACGGACGAGAATAACCTAAAAACCATCAAATTTCGGTTACAGCACATTGGACATTTATTTCGTATAACACGCTAGGAAATTATGTCGTATGCCCTACGGGTAAGCTAAAAACGCCTCTTCACTTCCCTCTATTTAATTCACTCCATTTAATTTTTTATAATATCCAGCCTGATGGTAAGCTACTCGCCTGTCCATAACAGTTGCAGTGGCACTTAGAGCTTTAAAACGCAAAGATCTGAGGGGCACCGCCACTTCGCCCGTCACCCTGAGACATAAGTTGACAAGTCCCATGTGCCTGTAACGTCACCAGCACCCTTACCCTTCAAAACTGGAACACAGTATTGCTGACTACACTGTTTGGTGGCAGAAATAGGTAAGGTGGCAGTACTTCCCTGGCCAAACTCTTTCACAAGGACCTCTACTGCTACTTAAATCATCTTGGGTGTCTGCCGCTTGTGAAACAAAATTTGAAAATTAACAATGGGATGCTTGTGGAATAGGTCGTGTATACTTTGTTCATTTTTATTTTATTCATTATGTGGTTATTTAGGTTCCTCTGATTTAATCTAAATACAAGCTAGTGCAAGATGTAGGAAACTACTGTATACATTATACGCGTCACCATCAGGATTTGAGCAGACTTGAGTCTGATTTCAAGCACTGGAAATACGACCCTAATGGCAAGGACTTGAGTATGATTTTCAGTGCTCACTGCAATACTCAAGTCCTGACTTGACTATTGAGTAGAGTTCTGGAATACGACCCTAAGACTATATTCATTGCCCATTTTGGCGATTTGGCAGTGCGCTGGCGCGCTGTTCAAATGTGTGCAAACTCATGGAGAAGCAACCCGCGCGCCGCGGAGGGGCGCGTGGCGCACCATGCCCACATGTTGTCCGCCTCATTGATCGGTTGATAAATGATAGAATCGACAGGGTCCCACCCCCTTCCGCATTCCATCTCGTATTTATTTATTTAGTAAATTCACGTATAACAATTAAACATAGCAACATTAAATTTAAAAATTACGTGCCTCTGCACTTAAGGTACATCACAGTAAGTGATCAAACTAATCTAGATACAATAATATATAATCAATTGTTAAGAAATTAATAAAAAAATAATTATAAAAGGACAGAGATTAAAAAGTATGCACAATTATGATTAATGAAATCTATCTAAATTAATTTATTTGTAATACGTACAACAGAAAAAATAAAATAGAGGTTAATGAGACACAAACACGTCAAACGTGTCTAAATCTCAGCTACAGAATATTATGCAGCACACAGCCCTCGCTGATGTTCTATCATAGACCGTAACAGGTAATTAAGACACACTAAAACTTGTATACAAATTTGAGTAAAAAAATAATAAACAAATTGAAATTCCAAAATATTCACGAACAGAACAACAAATTTCAGACAATGCGGTATTGTAGTTTAGGCTCTAATCTATGAGTAGAACTACTGGCTGAGTGAATATAGTTTTGTGTTGTATTTAATGAACAATTTAAAAACCTCGATTTATTTTCTATAATATCCAAATACAATCATAAAGCACAAATAAAAAATATTTCTTTTCTTCTGCGGAAACAGACGATCCCTCACTTTCGCCTCCCATACGTGAGCAAGTTTAGTTTTGTTCGTTCGTCCCGGCATTTAGTATCATAAAAATAATGATAATGAATAAATAAACTATAAGAATAAATAAAATGTATACTATATACTATATAACTATAAGAATAATATATGTACGTATGATATATGTATGTTGGTTTTTTTTCTTTTTAGGGTTTAAACTAGAGAATGTAAATGTAATGCATGGAGAGAGTTAACGTTGCAAATTGTAATGTATATTTTTATATTTATATTGTCATTTTACGTTTAAGTACTTATGTTTATAACGTTACTATGTAATATACATCGCTTATTTATTTGTCACACATTCATATTTGGCAAGTAACATCTTTAGTTTAAGTTATATACATAAATATGTCTCATAGCATAACATTACATGAATACACTTAACGTAACGGCTTCTTAACGAAAAGATCCTATCACGCAGAACCTATCACGCAACTATATAGGCATATTTTTTAAAATACAGAATGACAAATTCTGAGAATTATAAAAGAAAAATGCTCGTTTTATTCTTAAAGAGGTAAAAACTACATAGCACTATCTTAGGTGGGATGTTACCAGCGAGTTTTCAGGATATAAAACAAACCAAGCACTTCCATAATGGTCCCAACCCTGACCAGTGGCCTTATCACTAGACTTGGAAAAATAATTATACGCCACATACGCCCGCCCTACAGTGCCTTGTCAAAAGGGTACTAGATGAGATCATGAGGCGACTTTCAGATCCTGCTTCTCTCTACTCTTGTGGTACTATTACGGTATAGGTATCAAATATTTAAAATGGAGCGTAGTTTATCTAGCAACTAACGTCATAAGAAGCAGGCAAATGCTGATAAAAAGCCCAAATATCCGATAGATGTAATCCCGTTATTTATCAAATAAGCGCTTAAACGATTATGATTTGCATTTTGACACGATTGATGGTTATCGATGTTTGTCATTGCTGTCAGTGCACAAGCACCTGACGTGTACTGCGGCGACATAGAAACAAAATGCTTTTTTTTTTCAATCTACCGAATTTACTTCCATAACAAACACTAAAAAATGTCAACAATTTCTATTGTCGGAGGAAGCACACTTTGTTCACGTACCTGTTAGCCTTCAAGTACAAATGTGTAAATGGCATTTTCATCGCAATACATTTCATTAGGAAACCGGAAAGCCTGTAAACAGCTTACGCCTATATTAAATAAATTACTTCTATATATCGCGACGGGACTAACAAGTCGTGCTCAGAGCTTTAACTCACAAAGATCTGAGGGCCACTGCCACTGCGCTCGTCTCCCTGAGACATCAGTTGACAAGTCATTTCACCAGCACCCTTACTCGTCAAAATCTTAACGCTGTAATGTTCACATTACTGCTTAAGGTGGCAGTCCTTCCCCGGACGAACTCTTTTACAAGGACCTCTACTGCTACTATAATATATGATATATGACAATATCTATAAAATACAGAGATCGACTATTGGATCCAGGCATTCTCTTATTTAACCGGTGTTTGTGCGAGGCTTGTCTCCAGCAGTGGACGTCTTTCAACTGAAGTTACAATAATGATGAGTCTCTTGTGTTGTAGGACTCTTTGTCGTACAAATATTTTTGTCAAATTCTAAACTCAACTCTGTAGTAGTATAATAATTCAGAGCATATTGTATGTGACGCCACCTGCTTATAAAAAGAAAATAATTTTTTTGACTTCAAAGACCCTGTAGGTTAACCACCAAATTAACTTTCTCTGAATAAGCGACCTGAACGTACTGTCGCATGCGAAAGCAGTTAGTTTTCCATTGACTATGTATATGTCTAGAAGAAGAGAACAAGAATAAAAATTAAAGAGTTTTCAGTTCTTTGTTCGCTGGAGAGATGAGACTGGCGGGCACTTTAAGCTATGCAATTTAATTACTTATAGTCCATTCGTCCTTCCAATCTACAGAACTTTAAAAACCTTTTAGTGTTGTACACATAATTTAAAAACAGTTTTATGCAAAATGTAGTACGTAAAGGGCGATTTGCGATTGTTCTGTCGCATCTTTAACGGCCATGAACACTTCCATCATTCCATTTTCGATATTATCAACATATTTAAAGTAAGGAATCCATCCTGGAAATTCCGTGACGCCAATACAACGTTGGAGTTATTATGTAGACACTAGATTATTTCTTAACTAGAAATGTATTAACGTAGTTATAGCTTTTATGACAGGGTAATTTAGAACCGTGTTTTTTGAAGTCACTATAAATGCATACTTACATAATGTACTGTAATAAATTACTAACAGATAAACTTCTAGCCCAAGGCCGTGCTGAGATCTCGGTATCTTGTCGTATCTTTATTTACTTTTCTCAAACGCGTGAATAGAGTTTTCTACTTTGGATGAGCCGTGGTTTTATTATCGTGATTTTAAATTGTGTGTAAAGTCACGTGAAAATGCTTTCCGGTGTGGTTTGACGAGTGTGAGTTATAGAAAAATAAATGTTTAAGTTCAACTACAGTACGTGCTGTACTTGTTACTTATATGCGAAACATTTTAATTCGAATAAGTTTAACGTCCAATTTCTAAATTCAGAATTTCTGAATTGGTATTCATTGCCACATTTTTATGGGAACTTTTAATTTAGTGGTATTTTAATATCCACAGGAAGTGTCCAAACAGGCAGCGTCATCAAGTTTGCAATTTTCAATTTACAAAAGTAGATAATAGTAAATTTTAATTTCCATAAAGTTTTATGAATGGAAAAAAGACGATCATCACCATTATTAAAAACTTGTTTGTTTTTCAGATATTCAAACCGCAACTAATGGAGACGCCCTGTGCCCTACGGGTGTTAGGCTTAGACCTATATAAAGTGCATGCGAACATATTACAAACGTTTAAAAACTACGGGTAAAGCTATTATTAACGGTAGGAAACACAGCACGTACCTATGAGACATTTCCTAACGAGTTTCTCCTCCTCCGGCGTTACCTTTTCGATGTGGAAGGGCAGCTCGAGCCACGGCGCCATCCTGCCGGTCGTTCAAGCGTCAGACACTGGCGTTCGCGCAGCAGCTGCGACACTTTTCATGTGAACTCTAATCTAATCAATCGAACTCAATCGGTACTATTGACGATAAGTTAACTTGTTTTTGGCCGTCATTTAGCTGACTCATTTTCAGAATTTTAATGAGTCAAAGCTTCGAGCTAATAAAACAGTATATCGTCATAGCGCGTGCAAAATCGCAGAAGAGAAGTTCGTAAATACCGCGTAACAGCGTTTTCGCGATTTTACAGGAAGAATAAAAAACTTATTTGTCTTAGCCATTGAACTATATTTTACCGACTGAACTCTGTAGCTACTTCTTTGCGATTCACTTTGTACAAAAATAACGTAAGTTTACCCACAACTTGTTTAGATTCCGGATAAAGTCACTAACGCGGTTTTGTAGTAACGAACTACAGAAAAAGTAGTAGGGGAGCGTGGGGGAATGGGAGCCTACTAAGGAAAATTGACAATAAAAGTCATAATTTATGCAATTAAAATTGTTATTAGTTATGAACGTACGCTTCACATATCTGGGTACTAAATAATCACAGAAAAAATATGAAACTTAAATAAAATATTTCGTTAAAACAGAAAAAACTAAAACGTGTCATTCGCTCTCATTACCCCACAGTTCGGGAAATGGGAGCCGGTAAGAATCCCGTATGTCAAATGGGAGCCATTATATATAATCAGTCTGAAAAAAAATTAAAGTAATAAAATATATAAGTTAAAAAGTAATGAAAATAAACAAGAAAGTGTTACAGGAATATCCAGTGAATATTGCAATGGGATAAGGAGAGCCAAATAGCTCTCATTACCCGCGTAACATCGAATTGAAAAAGGAATAAAACAGGAAAAACATTTCTATTTTTATTGTGATTTCAAGCAAAACTTGTAAAATTTGATAGATATGGTGACATAGCTAGTGTAAATACAATATAGTATCTACGCATTTTAATGCTTACCTGTGATGATGAAATTTAGCAAATGTTATAGGCGCGGAGCGAAAAACACACAATCATCTCATACGACTAAACGCGGGGTTCTACGGGGGCGCCCACGGGACTCGAACCTTGTCGAACGTTGACGAAGACATAGGAGTACCGTTTGCACAAATACGAGCATTGGGAAAGTCCAGTTTAGCACCGCTCTCATTACCCGCGGGCTCCCAATACCCCAGTTCCCCTATACTGTTAGTAGGTGCGCGAGATTGAAATGAAACATTTTATTAAAGGTTTGATTTTATTATGACTAAAGAGTAAAAGCGACAGAAAGCGAGGAGGCTTTATGGTCATGGAACGTGTATTCAACAACCGTCTCCTGTTGTACCTTGAAGACAACGCCATTCTTAGTGATCGCCAGTACGGATTCCGACAAGGGCAATCTACTGGGGATTTTCTTGTTTATGCCTGTCACATACGGAGCGAGGCTATAGTCTTTAGACATTTCTAAAGCTTTTGACAGGGTCTGGCACGCAAGTCTTTTAAGTAAGCTTCCTTCTGATGGGCTTCCCACTGACCTCTGCAATTGGATCTCGGATTTCTTGAGTGTACGTTTGATTCGAGTGGTCTTAGAAGGCTACTCTTCCGAACACATGGCGATTTATAGAAAGTTCCTCAGGGTTCCCTACTGTCTGCAACTCTCTTTCAACTAATTCAAATTATGTGAGATCTAGCTTAAGCGAATTAGCGTTAAGGATCTGTTGGCGCGATATTTCAATTTTGTACCTTTTGCTGTTACGCGGTATTTACATACTGCTCTTCCGCGGTTTTGCACGCGTATCAACGATATGCAACCTGTTTTGTGCCCTATATAAAGTTCTACTCTAACTTTCTTGCAGTGTGCAATTTCAAATTTTCTCCTCTTGTTTCTCAACTCATGATGTTCATATGCTAGTTATTTCGAGAGATCAGAGAATGTGTTACTGTTTTTTTTAACGCGCATACGCTTTTAGCCCCGCACAAGGGAAACCCTGTGTCGCGGGTGCCATGGGGACACACATAGGCAACCACAAATTACATCGAAACTCACGAGAGAAATAAATGTAGGCCGTACAAATATTTCTCCCGGCACGGGAATCGAACCCGGGACCTCTGCGTGGCATTCCAGTGAGGTAATCATTCGGCCACTGAGGCAGTTAAAACAACATTACTTACTAAATTTCGACTTACCTCTGACCTTGATAGTTAATTTATTAGTTTTGTTACTTAACAATCATATGTCGTTAATGTTTAGCACACTGAGAACGCAGTCTGCCATTTGGGATACTTCGATATTGAAGCTCGTGAACAATGTCAATCTTCGGAATCGACATCTCGCATGTATCAATTAAACCATTTTTGCGCACGAACAATAATTTCTTCTAACAGTGCACAGTGAGTTTATTCAGTAAATTGCAACCCGCAATCCTTTATATTACGCTAAACATTAAACAAATTTATTTTCCTACTATCCATCTGAGTTTTTTTTGAGCCTCTCAGGTTTCAAGCGTTATCTTTGCCTCATTATTTGTTTTTTGCTAATGAATGTATCCAAACCAATAACCATTGTCGGGGACGTTGCACTTAAAATTAATAAGATGAAATAGGTAGGACACACAGCCAGGATGGATCGAGATCGATGGACTAGGAGAATCATGGAGTGCGACCACAGGCCAACACACGCGGCAGAGGTCGACCACCACTTTGTTGGCCGCAACTGGATGATGTGGCGTCGAGCCACATAAATGAAGAAATATGGAGGAGGCCTATATCCGAAGAAGAATGGAGTAGAGGCTGCTTGATGATGATGTACATACGTTGTGTCGCGCACTTAATGGTGATGTGTGTTCATTAACAAACATAAGTGTATTCATAATTCTAATTTGTTTGTGCACGCGGCGACTTACATCTGTATAATTAATCATCAAAGTGTCCAAGTGGCTGCTGATGAATGAGTTGTTCATAAATATATATTACTATAGATAAGGGCACCTATTACGTTATCGCGTCAGATAACTTTAACTCTGAGAATATTTATTATTCTGAGTAACGGGTGAATCACAGCATATGTGATTCAACCAAACTTACAGCTTCAGGGGAGGTTGGGCTTCACTATCTTGTATTGTTCTGTGGCAAAGAATACTAAATGATTATCACATATATCAGGTTTCTTACCACGGTATGACTTCTTTTTATTTTCCCGATATTTCGGAACGGTTGCACGCTCCATGGTCACGGGTTGACTGGACGGCGGCAGATGACAGCTTTATGAGCAGACATATCTGTCTACCCTCTTGCGCTGTCGACGACTACCTTCATCGCGATTTGTTGTGGCGTTACCATTGTCACTCACTTTTTTCACACAAACCACACTCACTGTATCCACACGCGAAACTGAAATCGAGGTGTTTTTGTTTTTATTACTGCACGCACTAAGGACCGGATTCCATGCACTGGACAGTTTAAAACCATCATCACGGTTAAATGTTTTGTACTTCGTGATCTCGATGGCTTCTCGTACCAACCGTGGTATGTAGTGACGTTCTGTCGAGAGTACCTGGGGGCTATGCAACTCGATCCAGTGGTTAGTGTCAGTCTGTGTGAGATGTTGTGCTATAGCCGACTTCTGTGCATCATTGTTTTTTACACATCCGAGCAGTAAACTGTCCAGTGCATAGCAAAGAATACTGTCAGCGCGATTGCGCATTTCATCCGATTGAAACGACACTTGTGACATTTCCGACCGGCATTCTCTCGGATTCGGAACTGTTACGAATCGGGCGTATGCGCAGACGTACTTACCTACATCATATGACTGCAATGAACAACAATGGCATTGCATTAAGTGTGAATGTCGTTTCTTTTGTCGGCTTAAATAAAACAATTTGAAGCTGCGCAGGTTTCTGGAAACTGGAGCGACGCTTCGGCGGCGGCGGGAAGTGAGTAATGTAACAAGCTTGGTTTTGTTTAACTTACGATACTGTAAATATACGAAGACTCTTACGAAAAATCAAAGAACTGATCAGTCATCTTGGGTTTGTTCGGATGCTTGGTTCACTTCCTCCTGGAGAAATATAGATGGCGCTAGGTAAAAAACTGATTTCCCCAAGGGAGTATTCTTGCACCAACTCTCTTCAACATCTACACATGTTGAGCTTGTTAACATAGCTCTTAACGAAACATTACGCTTAATCACTGGCTGTCTCAACCCCTATCTCACTCCACTCTATAGAATAATAATAAAGCACACAATCAACATAGCCCCGCAAAACCCCGCCCAGGAAACCCTGTGACGCGGGTGCCATGGATACGCACGTAGACAACCACAAATTACACCCAAACTCACGAGAGAAATAATTGTAGGCCATACAAATATTTCTCCCGGCCCGGGAATCCAACCTGGGACCTCTGCAAAGCAGTCCGACATGGTAACCGTTCGGCCACGGAGGCACTTGAAAATTTTAATGAAAATAATTTAAATAAAAGTTGAAACGAATCCGTCTAGAATCACATATTCACCGCCATACGTGTGCAGCCTGCTCCACGGAGAAGCTCAAACAAGAAAGTGACAGTCGACATCCTCTGTATGACTACCAAATCCCCCGAGGTCGCTTCAAAAGCCGTAACAAACTGTTTCCAGCGCACCACAAAAGCTACGAGTGCCACTTGGTGTGCACTATGGAAACAGAAAAATCCTCCACCACCTTGTTTCATCATCTCTTAAGAGCAAATATCACCAAATTACGATCTGCAATGTCCCGTCTGGAAGTCTTTGAATCAACTTCGGACTCTAGTAGGTCGCTGCATAGACAAAATGTGTAAATGGTGTATCCTGGATCAGTTGTTAACAGAAGATCCAAGCAATTCGCTGTATAGTCGCCGATATCTGGTACGCGGGTACCACAACACATCAGATCCCGCCTCTCTCCCATTCTATTTATTAATAACTTAGATAATTGAAATACCAGGTTTTATTTTATTATTATATTAGTAAACATGATAATTCTTAGTAATTTTGAGTTTGACAGTCGCAGGTCGAGCTGTCATACCGCATCTTCTTAACCTTTACTATCCTATTGTCTTCTGTCATATCTTGATTGATTCTATAGTATTTGTATCTTGGTGTTCGCTAAAGCCATAGGTTTTGCCGTGACGCGGTGCGTGGTGCAATGATAGGAATATAAGAGCCGTTACCACCCGTAAATGACTGATTTTATTTTAGTCGGTAAACTTTTTTTATATATTTATTACGTGCGTCTTTATTCCACTATTTCATCATAATATTGCTTGCTCCAAGACGTGCAGGATTTGGCACTCGGAAGAGGATTTGGCACGTTTGGCGACTGCTGCAGGTTCTACTGAAGAATTAGTATTTAAATGAAATTGTGGGCATATATAACTTTTGCAATAAACTTAGTAAATCGTGATCAAAATTGTTTTAAATAGACAAAATGACAAGTTGAAAAACAATTAAAATCACCAACTGGCGACAGATGTTAACCAGTTCTAGTCAAGAAATTCTTAATTAAAGCTTTGTTATTCACCAAGCGCAGCTGCGGGGCGTGGCGGTTGGTTCTCCCCGCTACAGTTGCATTTAAGTCATTGCAAGATTTATGGACAAATAGACAATCTAAACGCGTAACCTTAGCTTCACTTGTCGCATAATATAATAAGCAGTTAACATCCTACCTATGTTATCCTAACTCTTAATCAAATATTATCCACCAAAATCGCTCTTTATTTACGCTACACGCGAGTTATGGGTAACTGACTTTTTCCCTCCCCAACTCCCCACAAGTGGAGGGGATGACAGAAATTAATTAATGCGCCCCAAGACGGTAATGAAGTCCCATTGTAAGGTCATTTATCACTAAACATGTGTAACATGACTGCTTGCACAGCGGCGCCGGGACTCGACGCCGTGGATAGGGCTTCTAGTGGCTGGACGAATTGATATGATGAAGAAGTCCGTCTAACCTAAACCAAAAACATCTAAGTTACAGTATTAGAATCTTCAACTTAGTACGACGTCAGCTAAAAAGTCCAAAGCAAACGCTAAACACCGTTAAATCGTAGGTACTGATCACAGTTTTAAGAAGAATTTTAATTAACGTAAAGGAGTTTTATTATAGTATCAACATCATCATATTGTTGACAGTTATAACTTGCCTGTACCAAAATACTTCAGCGTCATGTGACATTAACGGCAAGGCCGTCGTTATAGCCATGATAAGAGAACCGAAATATCAGAATACACAGGGTGTAAAAAGAACTCCATTACGAATAAATTAGATACTACTGTATCTGTCATAATTTCAGGTGAAAACAAGCATTTTGAAAACTGTTTACACTAATCGAGTTCTTAGGTTTTCGCGATTGTTACACATAGGAAATGAGACTATTTTTCCAGATTTAAATCGCGTATACTTGTTTTTTCAAACAAACCGACGTTTCGTCATCTTACCTTACGTGAGAGGTGTTACAGATAAGATCGGAAGAGTCCTCAGGCGCGCATCTATCAAGACCTATTTCAAGCCCCTGAGGAAGATTTCTCAGTTCCTGAGACCCGTGAAATGTAACATCCCCTTACAGGATGCAGGAGTTTACAAGCTTGACTGTGAGTGCGGTCTCTCTTATATTGGACAAACAAAGCGAAGTATTTGTACCCGCGTCAAAGAACATATAGCTGATGTCAAACACCGTCGCGTAAACAAGTCTGCAGTCTGCGAGCATGTCATGGATAAACCTACACATTCCATGAAGTTTGACAAACTCCAGGTCCTTGCAAAAGAAGTCCGATATCTACCCAGGATGCTGCGAGAGGCCATTGAAATTAAAAAGCATCCTAATTTCAACAGGGAAGATGGTTTCTCCGTACCACCAGTTTGGGATCCAGTATTTCCTCTAATGAAAAATCCCAAACAGACATAAGACTGCAGTACTAATTAATATGTTTTAGTTTATTCTAATTTCTATTAATAATTAATAATAAATTGAACTTAATAAAAATTCATTCTATAAAATAATTTGTACAACTTAATATAGCGTAAATTGGAGTGTTTTCTTTGTAAAATTAAAAATAAGGTATTTAATTAATAACTAGTGTAATTATAGTGAAAAAATAGGGTGGTTTGCATCAATATTAGACATAACTGGTTGAAGACTGTACCACCTCAGTCAACCGTGACCATGGGACCTGTAAAGGGCCCGAAACGTCGGTTTGTTTGAAAAAACAAATATACGCGATTTAAATCCGGAAAAATAGTTTCATTTCCTATGTTTACACTAACTTGAATTTAAAACAAATGTATTTCAGTACTACGAGTTCATAATCCATTTATCTCCGCGCAAGGTTCACACTTATAGCATGGTTGTAGCATACGTCGGATCGTACCTTGGCCTCCTCTTAGAGAGCAACCGTTTCAAAGGTTGCGCGACGAAGATCAAATTAAATGTAGTCTATAACGAACACAGTATTAACGTATAAAGCTCTATTCTCTAGTAAGTACCACTAATTGTTACGTCTATATTAGACATACTTTGCACGTTCTATTATTCGCACCTAAGCGTGGTTGTAACCGAGTATCGAAGGTGTACTTCTTGCCATTCGGCGACGTCGGCACCTGCGCGCAGCGAAAGACGTAAGGGTGCTGGCAGAACAATTAAAATTATACACAAAATTCTCTTGTCCTAGCACAAGAAAAAAAATGAGTTAATTAGCCCAATTAAGAAACGCTACACTGCAAATATTATCCGTAATATGATATGTGGTTAGGTACAATTATACCGTATACGCGCCATTGCTATCACTGGAAGCGAAACTACTTTTCCGAATACATAAAGAGAATATTGGTTTTTTCAGCCAAACGGTGTGTTTGGTAATTTATGTTTCAATATTCTACTCCTATACCACGTCAATAATTATTATCAATCAATAACAATTTCGCACCTTTTAGTGTTCCTTAAAAAATCACAAAAGTGCGTTTATTCTTTTTTAGTCTTGTAAGTAAAAAAATCGAAATTTTAAAAATAACTATCCTCAGTTTATATAGTTAACTATAATTTTGGTCACAGATACTTTATGAAGCCCCGATTAGCCATTT